TAATATACCTTAAAATTAAAAACTGTTACTTTTGATCTTAACATTAGCAATTATTGTCTTAAAATCTTTGTTGAATCATGCATAATGTGCTTCTGCCAATATTTAAAATCTCTTGTTTTCTGCTCAAAATAATACTTCCCGGAAAGAGTACTTAAATTACACTGTGCGACAAAATTTAACGAAATGTTTGTTTAAGTTACTTTTTTGATTGTTTTCGGTTAAGATGCATAAATTATGCACAAAAATATCTATGCCACCTTCTAAGTGATAGGATTTCTTTTTTTATGATAAATTTTATGAAATTATTATTATGAAAATAATTAACACAAAATATTATTTTTTTTTTACTTCCAATAAACTATTATTTTTTTTTAAAGTGAATTTTTTTCCAGATTTTTTTGGCTTTTTCAGAGGTACATATTCTCGCGTAACAAGTTCCATACGTAGTCGCCCAGAGTATAGAGCTGGGAGAAAAAATTTTAAAGCATTGTTATAAAAGCCTAACGGTATACAGTAGAATCCGGTTATAACGACTTTCAAGGGACCGACCATTTTTCGTCGTTATAACCGGAAGACGCACTAAGCAAAAGGAGGAAAAAAATATTTTTTTTTGATTATTTTATGGTTGCTGTGTTTGTAATAGGTTTTTAAAATAAATCAAATTAATTTTTTTATTAAAACGATAAATTTAATAAATTTAATTCAAAAACATAGGTTTTTCTAAATACTGAAAACTGAATGAGCTTATTATTGCACATATTGCATTTGGAAAATTAAAACATTCAGTTTTCTCGGAAAAAAACAGAAAAAACTAGAAATATAACGGGTCATCTCATGGAATAGGCAGTGTGACGTCGGCATTGCACTTCGACTCTCTCTCTCTCTCTCTCGCAGCAGCGTAGTTAAGGCGACAGCTAAAACTAACTGAGAGTTGTGCCAGTGCTAGATCCCTGCAAGCCTTTGGAAGATAAATTTATCCCCTATCGTCTAGAAGACACTTCTCAGTCACTTCTGGAAGATAGAAAGACGATAGAACACATTTTACAAAAACAAAATACACATCTATCGCCTAGAAGTCACTTCTTAGACACTTCTGGAAGATAGAAAGACGATAGAAATTTTTGGAAAAAAAAGAAGAGTTTTTTATCGCCTAGAAGTCACTTATAAGTCACTTCTGGAAGATAGAAAGACGATAGCACACATTTTACAACAACAAATATACAAAAAAAACTATCTCCCAATTCACTTCTGGAAGTTGATAGGAAGATAGTAAAGCAAAGGTCCCAAAAATTTACCGATATTCTGGTTTTACTGAACATTTTTGTGTATTTTCTTTTGACCCGCGTACAGATTTTGCTGCAAGGCGTCATTTAGTTTCTAGACTGCTGTCTTGCCAGTTCAAGTCTGAAAATTGTTAAGTGTTTAAAAATATTATTACGTCTAACAACGCGTACAATGCCGGAAAAAAATGCAGCACATGTTAAGATCAACTATTTTTTTATATAAAGGTAATGCACATCAGTTTCTAAATATGCTTTTCATTTTAATAATGTTATTTGTGTGTTTTCTTATAGAGTTTACGTTTGTTAAATTTCCGGATGATTCAGAGCTGAAAAATCAAAAAATCTTCCATCAACAGTTCATCGGTTGTACAAGCGTCGAAAATATACAAAATTATATTAAAAAAAATATATTAACATATAAATTATATTACATTAAAAAAAAATTTAATTTTTAATAAAAATAGTAAAAATATTTTCTATTATTTTTTTCCAATTGGGAATATTCTTCTGGGTAACTTCTGGAAGTGTCGCGGAAGTCACTTCTAGAAGTGTCGCGGAAGACACTTCTGGAAGTGTCGCAGAAGTCTCTTCTGGGGGGTGACGCAGAAGTCACTTCTGGAAGTGTCGCGGAAGTCTCTTCTGGGGGGTGACGCAGAAGTGTCACAGTTCTTCCCGACGGACGTCACTTCCGCGATCCGAAAGCGATAGTCGCGGAAGATAGTTTTATCTTCCAGAAGTCACTCAGAAGTGTCTTCCGCGATAGAAAAGGCTTGCAGGGATCCTTCGTGTCGCTGCTACGCACACAAGCAAGGGTGCCGATCACTGACAAATACATACATTTCTAACAGCGTGTTTTGATGCTTAAATTTGGAACTATGGCACTGTATTTTTTCCGGCACGACGCAATATCCGGTTAAATTTTTCAATTTTCTTGCAAAATTTCATTCTTATAAGCGGTTTGTCGCTAAAAGCGGAAACGCTCTAAGCGGAGGCCCTTTCATATAACTTTGTATGGGGACCAACCAAACCATCGAGTTTTCGACGCACAACCCGGACGGACACTATAAGCGGAGTCGTTATAACAGGATTCTACTGTATTTGCTTAATACATTTTAATCAGGGCCGGCGGAAGGTGTATACCGGGTGTTGAGCACTCCACACGCCAAATCTTAGCGGGTGTGGAATTCAACACCCCAAAATGCTTGACTTGTAGAAAAAAATTTATTTACATCCATTATTATCAGTTGAATGTATGATTCAAAACTGTTTCTCCGGCCCTGCATATAGAGTATATCGAAGAAAAACGAAGAGAAATCCCGCCTTTACCACGGCCCAATTAAATCAGTTTCTATTTAAATAGATAGATAGTAACTCTCCCAAATACTTCCCAAGTTAAGCATTTTCCAACTTAATGCAACAACTACTTAAATAATTATGAGATTATCATAAATAAATCTTTTCAGATTGGTACTTACTCAGTTAGCTCCTTGATCTGCACTGCAATCTTTCGTCTTCTTGAAGTAAGATAATCACCGCAACCACTTTATTCGCAACATTAACACTTAACACTTTACCCTGAAATTACATAAGAAAAAAAATAATAATAAATAATTTGTTACAAATAATAATAGTTAGAATTATTTTGTTAGTAAAAAAGGTATTAGTAAAAAAGGTATTTACCTCTTTGGGTTATTGATTCACTGCATCTTGAAGTACACTCCAAGTAGAAAGGTATAGTCATCACCTGTAATGAAAAGAAGCATTCCAAAATATTAGTTAAATTATTTTATACAAATCGGTTGTTTAAAAAATACATACCCCAATGATGTGATGCACTGCATCCTGGAGTGGAGTTCAATAGAAGATCACGCCATTCATAATTGATCCTGCAGCCTGTTGTCCAGTCCATTTATGTGGTGTCCGCATACTATATATTTCCGGTAACCGCATTCTTACAACTATTACTATATAAATACTAGGTATATATATTTATATTATGTGGCCTACTTGTTTACAATTATTAATTGTGTTTGATTTTCATGTACTTCAAGTTCAATATTTGATAAAATTTACCTTTCAAATTTCTTTCATGTTCTTGAAAACTTTCAGATTTTTATCTGTTTCTTTTAGTTTCTTTGTCAAAATATTTATGATTTTTTAAAATATATAACTTAATTATTTATTGTCTAAAGGATGTACTCACTGCGTAATAACTTTGGTGCAGTGCATCCTGATGTCGAACTTCAAGTTACAAGTTGGATGGTGTCACCAATTATTTTCTGCAATCAGCCAAATACACAACCTGAAAAAAAATATAAAAAAAATTGAATTAATTAACTGCATTTTTTTTACAAAAGCCACGTCATCACATAATTTAAAAAAACTGCAACTCACCTTTTCAGGTTTGGATGCCCTGCATCCTGGAGTCCACTACATGCAGGAAGGGATCGGGCACCTTTAAGTTCATGCCAAGTCAGGTCATGATGCAGTGCATCCTAGGAGGAGTCGACCCATGGTGCACTGCATCCGGGAGTGGACTCCAGTAGGTGGAGTCAACCCAAGATGCACTGCATCCGGAAGTGGACTCCAGTAGGAGGAGTCGACCCATGGTGCACTGCATCCGGGAGTGGACTCCAGTAGGAGGAGTCGACCCATGATGGACTGCATCCGGGAGTGGACTCCAGTAGGAGGAGTTGGCCAGATACTCTCTCCCACTCTGGAACCACGTCACTAACACACACGCACACACACACACTTCCAGAGACCGGAAAAAGTTTCTTAGAGAAACTCCCGGTCATCCCGGAGAACTGAGAAATAGGCCAAAATCAAGGGGTATCCCACTACGAATCAGCCAGAACCACTTGGGAATTATAGGTGCAAGAAAACGAAAAAAATAATTAATTATCATTTTCGCTGACGTGGCCATATTAATTTAATTAACATTTAGTTAACATTACATTTACATTATATTAAATTAACATTATTTTAACATTAAATTAACATTATATTAATATTAAATGGATTTTAATTAACATTTTACATTTAAAATAGTTTTTTTTTACCTGTTGCATTTTGATTGATTGGTGTTGTTGTTTTATTAAAATAGCTTTTAAAAAATATATTCTGTTCAATTCAGGATCCATCATATATCGTGCCACAAAGAACTTCATTTGCGACCACCGTGGAAAGCACAACTCAAACGGGGATATTGAAAATTTGTGAGGTCATCACCCCACTCAAAACTGTTTCTCCGGCCCTGATTTTAATTAATAGATATTGAACTTGCATAAAACGCTTATAACGGTGAAAAAATATTTTCCCAATATGTGATTATAAGGCTGTGAAATATGCAAAAACACGCGTTTTTGGGACATTTGAGTGTGCGTAGAAGCTGATTGGCTATTGATATTAACAAATCCAAAAACTTGTATTCTTATTTTGACTAGTAGAAGTGAAAAATAAGAAAAAATCAACTTAAACATTTTTTTGTCGCACAGTGTTATTGATCCTGGTTAAATATAAATTTTACTAAAAAACAAAAATGCAATATCGTTTTTTAATTAATAGCTGAAAACTCTTAATGCAATTTTAAATTCTCTCATTTCCCTTTAACTATGCTTTAAGCATTGTTATTCAAGATTAAATTTATGTATTTTTGTTTATTCAAAATAAAAATCACAAATTGTTCCCACCTCCATGTATTAAAACTCATAATCCTTCAAAACGAAAAACTCTCTTTTGAATTTAATAATAAATTCGTACAATAATTAAAAAACACTTTAAGTACATCTGATTTTTTGTTGAAAATAAATTAAGTTTCGGTTGTGATAAGGTGAGTATAGCAAATAAGATGTAATGGGGAAAGAAGATGTAAAGGCACAGAAGAGTCAGACTCCAAACGAAATTCGTTCAATCATCGATAATCTCAGTTATCTTGGCACTCTCGGCGAACACGTCAGGGATCTCCGCATCGTCGGACCGCTCGATGATCCGATAGCGCTCCGCCGCCGCCAGACACTGGATGGCCACCTCCCGGGCTTTGGCACGCGATTCGTCCGGCAGCTGACCCAAGCCGCTTAGCAGCTCCATGATGTCCGTTTCGAACAGCTTCTTTGCGATTTCCTCGCCAGAGTTGATCATGTTTAGGATCACCACAATGCCGCGATGCTGGACGGCCGGACTGGGATTTGCGATTAGAGTGTGCAAGATGTCCAGGCAACTGGCGATGCCCAGGATTTTCTCGCAGCACTTAACCGACACCGAAGTAAGCATGGCCAGAGCTCCAGCACAGGCCGTTGCCGTCTCCTCATCCTCATCCTCGCAGAGAAGGGCCAAGAACTTAACTCTGTCGTTATTTCCCTCAAACATTTTTACCACATCCTCGCTCATGACCAGATTGCACAGACATTGGGCAGCTGCACGGGTGAGGTAAAGATGATCCTCCATCAGATAGAACTCAATCTTTGACACGCCCTGCTCCTTAATAATCCTCTGGCGAACGCTTTCATTCATGCTGGCCAAATTGGTGAGGGCCATTAGGGCCTCAAAGTTCTCCAACGCCGTACAGTCCTGCTGCAGAAGGTTCAACAAAGGACGGATAACATCAAGCGAGCGCTGACCGCTGAAAGACACTTCCGGGTTGATGGTTATTCCAATCCTGGCCAATGCCTGGCTAGCATGGCGTTTGCCCTTCTCGGTGCCCTCAAGCGCCATGCGAAGCAGCGCCTTAACGCCTCCTTCTTGAACCACTTTTCCGCGAAGCTCTTTCAATCCACAAACTGCGTTCAAAACTCTGGCAATCAGCTCCTGCGAATTATGGCTCTCCGTTTTGGACAGGGCACACAAAGCTGTAGTAATGCCCTCATTTGCCAGCACTGTAATGCGCTTATTGATAAAATCCACATCGTCCAGTTCGTGCTCCTCTGGTATGTGTTGCTTAGCGAACTTGGCCAGCTCCACCATCTCGGGCAACATCTCTTGCTTCTCATAAGCGTTGCACAGATTTACGAATGTGGTGACCACACCATAAAGACATGACTGATTTCCAGCGCGGGCCAAATCCATGAGTGCGTGTATGGATGCCTTGTCTTCAATAAGCTTTTCCTTACATTCAGCATCTAGTGTCAGATAAGCTAGGCCGTCGGCCGCCCACCGGCGGATATCCCTATCCTTTCCAGGTTTGATCAGGAACCTGCGGCACGCCTCAGCCAATTTAAGGGCGGCTCCGTCGCCAAAGGGACGGATGGCCGCATCCTGACCGCCATAGCTGCCCAGCTTGCAAAGCCCCACCAGAGCGCGCACTCGAACACCATCGTTCTTAGAGTGGTAGAGCCGCTTCAGGATATCCACGCCCTGCTCGCAAAGAGCCTTGGCTTTGTCCTTTTTCGAGGAAGCGGCGATCAGACACTCGCAGGCCACTCGCTGCTGCAGTTCATCGTCGGTGGTGGCCATTGCTAGAATCATCTGGAGGATGCCTGCAAAGACAATTTGTTAGTTAATATATAATTCCGTATAAATGGGGAATTACTTACCATCTCTAGCCACAACTTGATTGCCCACATCCAATGGACCGTTGAGCAGAGCAGTAATCGCAACGGTGACCCGCACCTTGGACTCCATGTCGGGTGCCAATAGCTTATCTTTAATGTACTCGTCAATCTGCTCCGTGAACTTCAGCTTAAGTTCATCATAGTACATGTTCTCATAGATACGAGCCAGACAAACGGAAGCAATTGTGGACGAGGAGCCGGTGATATCCATGGCACTCTCATACTTGTAGTCCGCAAGTTCAGAACACACGTCCAGCAGGCGACAAAGGCCCCTGATCTCCACTAGGCGCTCTGCCCACTCCAAAGCCGTGTAGTGAACATTTCTTGTAATCAACTCTATAACGGCATCCCTAGCAGATCCGGAAATGGTTCGATCTGTGATGCTATAAACCAGGCAAGTGAGGAGAGTGTCTATTTCACGGTTGTTCTTTGAGCACAGCTCCTTATCTGGCTTGGAATCTGTTTTGTTCTTCAGGCCAGACAGAGCGTTTATAATAGTTTGCAAGCAAAACTGGGCAGTGGACACACAATCCTCGTGCTTCTGGTCGAGAACCCTCATAAACCAAGGTACTCCCAGTTCCGTAAGTACGCCTTTAGTACGCTCTACGCTATTTTCGCAAAGAGCAGCCACCACGCGCACCATATTAACGTAAATGTCTTGATCCTTTTCCACTTTAGTTAGCGAGGCTATTTTGGTAATACAATGTTCCTTGTACAAAAGCTCGGCGCCAGTCTGCTCCTTGGACAAAACTACTAGGTTATTGGCTGCGGAACGGCGTTTGTCGATGGGAGTAGCCAAATCGAAGGTGAGATCCATCATCTGCTTGACTTTCGTAGAGGTCTTAGCATTGCGGGCAATTCGCTCTTCGACGATAACATGCAGACGTTGAAGCATTGGCTGTACTGTTTTGTTGCCAGGATCTGCCTTAAACAAAGAGGTGGCATCCTTGTAGGCCTCCTCGAACTTCTCCAGAGCCTCGTAGGCCTGCGCCCTGCGGAACAGAGCCTTGGGGTCCCCAGGAGCCGTTTTCAATGACTCCGTGCAGTCTTCTACGGCATTTTCGTATTTTTCCAGTTTCAGATAGGCAGCGGCACGATTTTTGTAGAAAACCGGTAGTTCCTTGTGCTTGGAGCCCAACTTAATGGCACTGCTATAGTGCTGTACTGCCTCCTCCCAGCGGGAGGCCTTAAAGGCCTCATTGCCCTTGTCTTTGAAGCTGCCTGCATCGGGTACTTCATCGCTGCTAATGGTATTCGTCATGGTTACACAATTTTCTGTATGAGGACACAAAAACTTTAGCTAAAACTTCCTATTGATCACAGATGACTCACGATTTGGGTTGGTTTTGTGCCTTCTGGCCTAAATTTTGGATACCAGAAACTTCTCGATCAGTCTCGGCCACACACAGATACAGATACAGATGAATAGCGGGAAAATCAAGCACGCTGCGTGAGAAAATTCAACCGGCTGCTGCGCTGTTCTATATATAAATAAGATCGGAGAAGAATCAAGACAAAATCGTTGCAGCAGTTGTTTTTCGTCCGCTCAGCTGATCGAAGCAGTGCTGCTGCAGTCGGCTAATTTTGTCTTTAAAAGCTAGAAAAGGCTGAAGCTGACAGGCCATGAAAACTAGCTAAGGCTGACAATCAAAATACAACTTTGATTCTCATGCGGCTATGTTTCGTTTAGAAGTTGACATAAAAAACACTTAAGCTGAAGTAATTAGGCTTAAAAAAAAACTTTTATCAGTACAGGGTAATAAAAACCTAAATATCTAAATAGTTTTGACCACTTTTTGGCCGTTTTTAGCATTAAGTACTCAGCACCACTAGCTCCGGCACCAACGCAGGCGAGGGTGAACAAGTTCAAGTTCAAACAGCTGATCCGATTTGTTTTGGGTTTTCATGTGATATAACGAAGTAAAAACAATCCAATTGGACACAAAGGGACTCTTCCAGGATGTTCCAACACGGCCCAATGCTGTGGCGACCACTGCTCCTGCTGCGCAGTCTGCACCTGGGTCAGCGCCAGCAAATGTCTCACTACGATGCCCTGGGAATCGGGAGACAGTGCACACAAAACGAAATTAAGGCAGCCTACTACAAACTCTCGATGCTTTACCATCCGGACAGAAACCAGGGCAGCGAGACCGCAGCCAAGAAGTTTCGGGAGATCAATCAGGCGTACGAGATTCTGGGAAACTACCGCCTCCGTCGACTTTACGATAAGGGAATCGTGCACACCGCAGGTTCACAGTATGCTCAGGATGTCCACGATGTTGCAGAGCCAGTGGTGGAGGACGATCCGGAAACCAAGTTCTACAAATCACGTTTCCAGAAATCGCGTGTGGCCGATGCAGAAGGACGCACTCCAATCTACGACTTCGACGAGTGGTCGCGGAATCATTACGGCAAGTCCTTTGACCGAAGGCAGGCCGCCCAGGCCAAATACGATCGAATCAAGGTTCAAAAAGAGGCGAACAAGATGTCCGGCCAAACCGATATGGTATTGCTTGCCTTTCTTTTCGGCGGAGTGGCTGTTTATCTAATGTTTCTCGCCGAGACCTCCTATGATACTCCAAAACAAAAAGCGGAGGCCCGGCACAGACGTAATCGGGAGGAGCGGGAGCAACAGGTGGACAGGAAAGAATCGTAGATAGCTCTAGTCCACACTGTACATAGGGTTAAGTTTTATTAATAACAACAAAAGGCTATTTTTGTGAATAAGAAGTGTAAACGACTTTTCTTTGCAGCAAAGGCTTGCAAAAGTTGTTACGCGGGACTTTATAAAACTGCAAATATTGCCAATATATGGAGCTAAAGATTATCACGTGAATTGACCTTCCGAACATGTGTAGAAAGTCAGAAACTTGAATATTAAATGTCATCCATACTTTAAATCGTTTTCAAAAAATTAATCAACTGCTGTGTGAGATTAACGCGCTAAACTTTAATCAAAATTTGCCGCTGCGCTTGCGCGCTGTGTATTTCGTATCTGGGCGAGTGTCCAATCCCTGGCGACGTCTTCGCTCCTTCTTTGCTAGGATCCAATCGCGAGATTTTTTCGGAGCCTTTCCGCGGGCCTCACGGCAGGCATCACGTTTTTTGATATAATTTACACGACGCTCTTCTTCAGGAGAGCCTAAAATATAAACGTTTAAAGGAAATATTTAAATAAGGACTTAAAGAGAGATTTACCCAAAGCTTTCGGCAGCTCAGCTGATCCCCCAGTCATTAACACAAGATAGTACTTTTTAGCTTTGGCCGAGTTGGGGTAATCCACAACCAGCCCTCCATAAAATCCTGCCTTCATGGCCTGCGAGGTGACCATCTCGATCTGGTCTGAGTTTTCCGGATAAAATTGGAAGACGGCGCGGGCGGTACGTGTTAAACAAGAGAACAAGGTGGTGAAGAACTTTAGCAGGCGCTTATGCGGATTGTGATACGACTTGTCTGCATTGCAAAGCCACTGGAGAGCAGAAATTGATATAGCTCCGTCAAAAGTGCCCGGCTTGAAGGGCATACCCTCGCCCATGTCCCCCAAGATCACATCCCCAGCCACTTCTCGTTCCACAGCAATGTCCAGCATTGATTTAGAAATATCAATGCCGATCCACATGTGATCGCTGTCCTCGAGAACACTTCCCGAGAGTCCGGAGCCACAACCGATATCCAAAATCAAGCGAGACTCCTCGTCGTCTGGAAAAGCCAGCAGTTCTAAGGCACGTTCGGCCATTTCCACTTGGATCTCAATAATACGGGTGCTAAATTAATCACAATTACAACCAGGCCTTATCGTCAAACGAAAATCACTTACTTTGTGGAATACTTCTTGGCCTCATCATCGTTATAGAACTGTAAGGTTAGAATATGATTAGAATGCATGCTTGCATTGGCAATCATCCACTCACAATTTCCGGTGGAGCTGAGTGCTCTGGTCTTCTGGCCATTTTCCGTGTTTTTGAATAATAAACAAATCGAAAAACAAATTCGGGCTTGCACGTTTTTTTAAAAATAATCCAGAGATATGATCAGCTGTTTAAAGGCACAGCTGATTACTTTTACAGTGCTGTAAAAGTTGTGGACCCGCTGGAGGATGTATTCGCTAAAGATGCTATCGAAATACATCGATAGTGCTATCGATTTGACAGCTCTAGAGATGGTCCAGAAATCCTCTCAGCTGCTCGCCTTAGATTACCCTAAGCTAAAAAAAAACATTTCTTCGTTTAATCTAAAAGCAATAATAATGTGAAAAGTGCTGTTTAAGAGTGTAAAGGAAGTGCAACGGTGAGTTAACGCAGAAAACTTCCAACAACTGATGATTAGGCTAAAGCTTACATCAGAACGTGTGGGCGTGGGAGTGTGAAAATTGTTGGCTGTGGATGTTTGTGTGTATAATGGTTCTGACGCGTCAACAAATACTCATGGCAGTGATAAATACCAATTAGCCACCGCTGTGTACGTTGTGCAGACGGAAATGCGAAAATTTCAGTTGTTTGTGTGTGGGACCGCAGTCTGTTCTAAAAAAACTAGTGGCACAATATTTATATTAAACCCGTTATGCTGACCCGTTTACCTTGGTCCAATTTGCTTAAAAAAAGCGAAAACCCATCTAGCCAGCAAATACAAAAAGAACAACAACAGGTTAATGCTTCTCAAACAGGTAAAGCGTAAGGTCTTTCTCTCTCCTCTCTCTCTCTCTCCACAGCTGATTGCCGGGATGCTTTTGGCACTCTCGCGCACTCCTTTTGATCGGCAGAGGCCATCAGTGACTCTTAAAGTGTTCAGCAATCAAGTGCATTTCAAACTGCATCAAAACTTGCATTTCTTTTGATGCAAGTTTCTTTGTACTCTACCCAAATAAATAAAGCTCCCAATTCAGGTTTATTGCGGCTCGTCTGCTTCTGCGTTTGTGTACTTTTTGCATATTTATGAGCAAACGGGTTATTCTTTTTGGCAACGGAACATCTTTCACTCTTTCCAAGAACAACATTCCCTCCTCCGATCGCTTATGGTTACAAAATTTACGCAACAAGCCGCGATCGCGGTCGCTGGCCTCTCCACTCAACAAGTTTGCCAAAACCCCAGAAAAGACAGCAGGTGAAAACTTGAAACGCAAGAACGAAGCTTTAAATACGCTTAAAAATAATAAACTAAGGGTGATTTATTCATACACACGGTTGACACGTTATACTTCTATATATTGCCATTACACAATTATTTATTCTTTCGGATTCCTAATCTAACCGAAACGTTGCAATAATGTAAGGATATTTTTTTCCAATCCAAAATACCAAACCTTTGTTTCGAAAATTCTACATATATTATATCCCTGTACCGTGTACAACATCTACAAACTTGGCAGTGTACTGTCGATTGCTGACTTTTAAACATGTAACTCGCAAAAAAATCATGATAGCTTCTTAGTAGAGTATAAACTACAACCAAACTCGCTGTCATCCATTTTGGAAACCAGATACAGATACGGCGACAAAGACAGATACAGAGCCAACTACAGATGCTCGCTGGCTGCTGGGAAGAGTCGCTTCAGTTGAGTGCCTCCATTCTCCCAGAGCAAACCGTTCCCGCCGTAAGAAAGTAAGGAAAACAAGAAATGCGCAGTGGGCCAACGCTTTGTCCACTGCTGGTGGTGCTACTAGTGGGTCATCAAGTGGCTCCGGTGGTGCCGGCTAACCTACTGACCAGCTATCTGCCCGCCTCCATGCAGGCCTTGGCATACTTCATAGATCTGCTGCAATATGAACCCCTGTCCAGCACAACCGTTGAGCCGCCCTTTAGTGCAGATAATGGAGGGGAATCTACGAGTGCCAAACCACTACCCTCAACGGCATTGCCCACAAGGATGAGGACTACGACCACGAGGAGACCAAGTGCAACGGGTGGTTCGGGATCTGGCTGGTGGCAGCCTCCAAGTTGGTGGGAAACGCCGCAGAGGACTTCCACCACCGAGAAACCCACATCACCACCAACCTTACCGCATCGTCCGGCGATCTTTGCCCCAGGCTCTAAACCAGTGCTTGAGGGTCACGCTCTCTTTGATGAAATCGGAGATGATGTGGACTTTGACAAGCTGCCTTTGTCTTTAATCCGTGATATTCAAAGCGAACACGAAGACTTTACCAACGATGTGGAGTCGCTGGATAACTTTCTGCGTCTATACGACGATAATTACGGAAGAGCAGCATTCGATTTCGAGTCCGCCATGGATAGGTGGAGCACCTCCTCAATAGCGGGCAAAAAGAGGGTACCACCCACCAAACCTTATGTGGATTTCCTGCTGGTCTACGATCTTCTGAAGCGCGATGCTAAGGCGGCAAATCTGAGCAAGTACGAAGGATACTCTGAAGACCTGCTGGAGCAGCTGCATGAGTTGTCGCAGGCGTCCTCGGCCAGGCAACTGCACACTCTCTTTCAAAGGATGTTAGACCGGGGCGATGTGCAGCGAAGTGACGTAGTAGCCCGCGTTCAGGGAATCGTCAAAGATTTGGGGAACCCTAACAGTGCCACCTCCAAGGCTTTGGCATTTATACCCAGCATGCAGTTTCTACCTTAAGCTCCTAGATAAGTCGCAATAAAGTCAAGGGACAATCAAATTGATAATCAAATTGAGTGTGTATTAATTGAAAACAGCTGAAGATAAGCATAAGCAAAGCCATAATCTTTCGCTAAACACTTTTGCTGCAAAGAATGTAAAAACAAAATGTTGCCATGACTCATTAATTTAAATAAACTCAAAGTCTAATCGAGACAGCCTGCCTGTTTTTTAAACTACAAAGTTGTAAGCCCGACTCATAATTGCTTTTAAAAATTTCGTATTTAAATTTTGCTTTTTTTGTCCTTATTGTTTGTATATCTTTTATTCGTCAATCAAATTGCATAGTTGGGACTGATTTACAGCACCTTTGGGTGCACTTAATAAACTGCAGGCCAATCCTTTTGCGGCCGGAAGTGTCACGAAAAATGCCCTCATGGGACAAGCAAAATGGGACGTTAGACACAACAGGACAAACCCCCTTAACCCCGTGTAAAAACAGTGACTTAAAACTTAACTGACACAATGACACAGTTCACGCTGGTGCGGGTGTGTGTGCATAGGTGTTAATGTGTTATCGATAACAGGTCAGCCGGCTGCAATTTGTTGCTGCCACTGCCACTGAGTTTTTTCGTGCATCAGCTGTGTGCTGACGTGCTACGTCATCGCCGACTCTCTCACAGAGATTGCTTGCCACCCACTTATGCTCTCTGTCAGAGTCGCCTTCTTCGTTGGCGCTCACGCTCTTTGCCACACGGATTCAAAAGATACTTTTGAATTTTATGCGCACATAAGATACACTAATTGGTTTTTCTAAAACTGGATGGATGTTATTAAGTTCTTATTATAAAAGTTTTTCATAATAAAAAACAAAATTTGTCTAATTACTTACTTACAATATATTTTTGACTGATTTATTTATACATCTTACTTTAGACATACTCAAGATTTTTTGTTTAAATGATTTAATTTTGATAAGGTTGGCATGAAGAATTGGTATATGGGAAACTATATTGTATCTTAACAAAGTTTTACTATTCTCTACTTCTTAACCGGCAGACAATGTATCTACCACCCTGTGAATGTATATCTTGTGGAGCTACCACGGAATAGCTCTTTTTGTAAGGGTATAAAAGAGAGCTCTTTGCCACTTGGCGGGTTGCTTTTCGCAAGCGCTCTTCGATTTCATTTTGTTTTTGTACTCGGTGCGCGTAGCAAGTGTAAGCGGCTCTTGCTCTGTTTCTTCATCAGAGTTCCGCCTTTAATCTCCTCTAATTCGGTTTTATTTTTCCGCAATTTGTGCTGCATCAAAGTGACAAGCTATTGAAAAACTAATTGTCTAATTAAAATCGAATGCAAAAAACACAGTTTGTGGCAGCGAAAAATTTTGCTTGCGAGTGCTGTTGTAGAAAGGTTATCGATTTGCGTGAAAGTTGCAGGCTGCTGCAGATTGGCGAAAGAAAAGGCAAAGAAAGTTTTCTGGAAATGTGAAGACACAACAAATAACAACAATGGAAAACTTAAACTTTGCACGCACGCCGCAATTTCTGCGCAAAGTTATCTCCGAGGCGCGCAGGTAAATGCAGAAAATAACAAAAACAACGGGAAGGGCGGCGAAAAGGGGGTGGAATGGGGTAAAGTCAAGCCACCACCACAAAATCACCACCCACCGGCGAACGGGTCACCCTAATGTTTTCCGTATCGCACGGGACAAGTCTAGCCGGGATTTGAATTTATGGCTGGTTCTTGGCTTCTTGTTTCTAGTTTGTTGCACCTTACAGGTTTTACTTGTTTTCCATTTGGGGGCCTTATATGTGAGCAGCAGGGCAGGCGGTGCAGCAGCCCGACAGCGCCTTATGTAACTCGAGCCTGCAGACGTCAGTGGTTCGGTGTCCTCACGCCAGAGGATTATTTCGCCTTCTCTGTACAGCTGAGGTCAAATCAATAGCACTGATTATGCTATTTAAAAAAGTGAAACAATAGTTTGTTGAACTTAATTACCAGTTTTTTATATTTAAATTATAGGAAATGGTAAAAAATACAACTTATTTAATACTTATCATAACAATACAACAAAACTTTAAACACTTCACAAATCATTTCTTAATTCCAAGCTGTAAAAGAAAATTATGAGGATTATTTGAGGCTGGTTTTTTGAATAAAGTTGTATGCAGTATGAAAATATAAACCATTGTGCAACACGCCACACACGCCACTCGAGGCAAAAACCGCAAACAAAGCCAAATGACAACAAAGAAGCTAAGGGAGCTGCAACCCCTTGACGGCTATAACCCCAAAGCCAGGGATACCCTTAAGAAGCCCAACAATTAGTCATAGGAAATTGCACGTTCTCTTGAAAAAATGTATTTCTACAGAGTGAATGAAATCATCTTGGGAAAGTACAGGGATCACAATTTATGAACACTCGAAACAGTAACTTTTATTTATAACTATTGATTCAGCTTTTAAGCAATATAGTTATCAAATTTGTACCATAATAATTTTATGACTTTTAAACCTACTTTAATTTGTATTTTAATAGAAAAAGAACAAAGTTTAAGAACTTTATGAAGCTTTTTAAGATCTTCACTAATGGTGGGACTTATGACTATATAATGCAATATTATCTCTTTGGATGTTTACTGTAGAGCATGCTCTGCATACGGCCTTCCAATGCCCCTAGGTGCACCACCACCCCAAGCATTAAAATCTAGCCCACCTCCTACACGTCCTTTCCATTGTCTTTGTCTCTGGAACCCCATTACCCATAGCCGGTGGACATAATTTCGCACATCGCACACATTGCTCCTCCCGCCAAGGACCCTTCGATTTTCCCGAGGAAAAGCCTTTGTTTCGGATTAATAATTTGGCTCCTCTTGACTTTGCCGCCATCTGTGTCAATGGGCGCTGCAATCGAGCCCAAGGCGACAGCTCTTTCCCGCACTTATCAACGCTGAATGCGAGTGGGAGTGTGGATAACGACAAAGAATAGGGCAAGTGTGGGTGGGTGGATTTCCTAGTGGTAATGGTGCAGCTTCCGCTTGGAGCATGCCTAGTGTATCGAAATATTTGAATATGTTTTTGGCCTGACTTCTTAATAATCATCACCGTCATCATTGCCTTATATATAGATCGAGTGATGCATGCATTTCACACAATAGCGAGCACGTCAGCACCACCCCCCTTATCCCATCATACTTTATACACTCTTATATATGTGTGCATCGCATATATTGATTGTTGTATGATTTTTGTAAGCTTTTAAGGCATATTTTCTTTTGTTAAGCGTAAATGTAATATATATTGGCCCAAAGGTAGTTTCTTTCTTCTTTTCGTTTCGAGGTAAACGCACAGCTCAACAGATTGAGTTGGAAATGATTTTTTTTATTGACCTATTTTATATATTTTGGGAAAACATATAAATATACTTTATGTATATGTATATGCGAGTTTTTACATACAAAATATAGGTAATAAAGATATGGAACCTATGCTGATACTAAATGATTTACTTTTCTATTTAAACCAAGACTGAAATGTGATCAGCAAATGTTAATCGATAATGCAGCTGCCAGAATCAGTAGAATCAAATGGCAAGGTCAAAGTCTCTTTACGAACAGCCCCAAACACACTCATCAACCATATGTTGCGTTTAATTAATGAAACATTCCGCAATTTATTTTGTTATTCTCTCCCGCTCGCTTTGCAGATCATTTATAAACAGCGACCCATTTGCCGCCTCATCCGCAAGGGGACGCTCGGAGACCGAAGAGGAGGCATCATCCGAAATGGAGCTCGCCCACACTTTGACCCTCAACGAGGAGGCTCTCAAGCAGCTGCCCGAGCACAAGCGGCCGGTATTTGAGCTGGAATGGCTGCGCTACTTGGAGAAGGCGCTACCCCTGGTGTCCAAGCCGGAGATCAAGGCCAGCCAGAAGAAGCTGGTCCAGCAGCTCTCGGAGCGAATTCAGGGTGCCCCGGGGCCACCCATTCGCAAACTCATTGCCAGCGCACTGGCCACCCTCTTCTCCGTCGGCGACACCTTCATGCTCTTCGACACCGTCAACGCCTGCAATGACATCCTGAAGAACAAGGACGACTCGCCCAGCTATCTTCCTACCAAACTGTGAGTATGGTGTATATTACAAAACTATGTTCCAATCGCAATGAAATCATCTTTGTCTCTTAGTGCCGCCATCTGCGTGCTGGGCTCGATGTACGAGAAGCTGGGTCGGATGATGGGGCGCACCTACGAGGACACGGTGCAGATCCTAATTCGCACCCTTCGAAACGCGGAGTCGCAGACGCGAATTGAAATCATGCACACGTTAGAGAAGGTGAGTGCCGGCATGGGCACCGCGATCGCCAACGTGCACAAGGACATCTACAAAGCGGCCAAGCACTGCCTGCTGGATCGAGTGATGGCCGTCCGAGTGGCCGCCGCCCGGTGCATCCTCAAGATGATCTACAGTGCTCCATTCCTGTACCAAACGGAGCTGGAGAGCCTGGGAACCCTGTGCTTCCGTGCCTTCGACGGGAGCAACTACGAAGTGCGGTGTGCGGTGGCTCAGCTGTTGGGCACTCTGCTGGCCTACACCCAACAACTCGCCGAGGCAGCGACTGGCAAGAAGAAGCAGGGCCAGGCGGTGGCCATACAGGCGGCCAAGGGAGCTACTCAACGCTTGGTTTCCCTGGACGAGGCCCTGGGCATCCTGATGTCGGGCTTCCTGCGAGGAGGAGCCTCCTTCCTGAAGGGCACCGGAGAGATAATCAAGGGCAGCTCGGGAGTCAACAGAGAAGTTCGAGTGGGTGTCACCCATGCCTATGTGGTATTTGTGCAATTCATGGGCAGCGTTTGGCTCGAGCGACAGCTGAGCACCTTCCTGGCACATGTTCTGGATCTGGTGGCCAATCCCAAGGCAGCCTGCTCCCACGTGGACGCGGTGTACTCTCGCAAGTGCATCAACTTTATTCTCCGTTCGACGATTGGCAAGATGCTGGGCGAGAAGGCGCAGAGCGCCGCCTGCAAGGAGCTCATCCACCTGGTGGCCAAACAGATGAACTCCATTGACTTCAATCCCGAGAACGCCAAGGATTCCAATCAGGAGACGCTGTTCAGTCAGCACCTGCTGGTCTGCGCCCTGCAGGAACTAAGTTCCCTGCTCATTGGATTGGGAACCACGGCCCAGAACCTTTTGGGAGATCAGTCGCTGCAAGCAATTGATGCCACCTGCGCCGTTTTGGTTCATCCCTGTGCTGCTGCGCGCTTGGCTGCCGCCTGGTGTTTGCGTTGCGCTTGTGTGGCGGTTCCCGGTCAGATCACGCCGCTGATTGATCGCTTCGTGGAGGCAATCGAACAGATGCGATCCTCGCCGGAAGCAATCGCCGGATACAGCTGCGCTTTGGCGGCCATTTTGGGAAGCGTTCGGTACTCACCGTTGGGCATCCCCCACACCAAGGGCAAGGTCGTGTTCAACTGTGCGGAGGAGCTGCTGCGATCTGCTTCCCAGAATAGCCGCATGTCGCTGCATCGAACCCAGGCCGGCTGGCTGCTGATCGGAGCCATCATGACTCTGGGATCGCCGGTGGTCAAGGGCCTACTGCCGCGGATGCTGCTGCTGTGGCGGAACTCGTTCCCCCGATCCAACAAGGAGCTGGAGTCGGAGAAGGCACGTGGCGATGCCTTCACCTGGCAGGTCACGCTGGAGGGCAGGGCTGGAGCGTTGTCCGTGATGCACAGTTTCCTGCTCAATTGTCCGGACCTGCTTAACGAGGACATAACAAGACGGCTGCTCACGCCCATCGAGAGCGCCCTGGCAATGCTAGTCAAGTGAGTAGTTTTCCCTAAGAACTTAGCACTTAAGAACTTTGACTGTATATTTATTATTTTTATTTGTTTTTTTGTATCTCTCCTGATTATTAAATTATAATTTCTTTGTCCAGTTTGGCGTCGGTTCTGAAGAGCTATGGCACACAGCTGAAGGCTCCGGCTGCCATGGTGCGGTTGCGTCTGTTTGAAACACTTACGCTCCTGCCGGCGAATGCATTGGAGGCTTCCTATACCCATCTCCTTCGCATGCTCGTCTCAGAGTTCACACTATCGGACAACGCGGCAAACACCACAAACTCGCTGCTTCGGACGCTCTGTCATGGAGACGATTCCATCATTCTAGGCACCTGGCTGCAGGAAACTAACCATCGCACCATCGAGGATCAGGTGAGATATATTATATTTGGGAGTAATGTTACTATCTTCTGATGTGCGTGTGTGACCTCTCCCCCGATTGTCTATCCGTGAAACCCTATTTAACTGTCTTTCCTTCTCTCTATAAAATTGTGCATTCCCAAAGATGGAGCCCAATCGCAAAGTCGATGGCGAGCATGTAAGTGGAGTGTAGCAAAAGCAAGTGGCTGTGTTTTTCGATCATTTCGCAAAACTTTACTCTTTCATTGAATCATATTTTATTTAATTTTTGTTTTAAATAAAACCAGTAAAAATGTTTTACCTCTCTCTGCATGAGTATAGAGGAGGTCGAATTTAAACATTTTATTTTCAAGAAATTCCTATTTTTTTTTGGTTTTATTGAAAGTTTAAAACAAAAAGGCAAAGCCAAAAAGAATTGTTGTTTTTATAAAATTTCTGCAATACATTTTAAACTAATTTTTGTATTCTTCCAGCTTAATTCTGTAATTTAGTGGTTGTGTTTTTGTTCCTTTTGCATGCATGTTAAGAATTTTTCTCTTACTAATTTCAACCTTTTTTTGCTTCAGTTGCAACCGAACAGCGCCGCAGGATCTGGTGCTTTAGAGCATGATCCATGCTGCCTGTACCGTCCCAGTTGGTCCGCCCAGGGGAGCGGCCCCAGCACCGGAGGTCCTACTTTGGCAACATCCTCCGGCGAAAGCAGCCTCGGTGGAAGTAACAACATCCAGCTAATCAGCAAAGCGCAGCAGTGTCCAGGACCCTTGCCGCTCGGAGTGGCAGTGATCGATATGGCAGTGACACTTTACGGTACGATCTTCCCCAAGGTGGCCAACAAACATAGGCTGCAGATGCTGGAGCACTTTGCCGAGTGCATTCGCCAGGCGAAGAGCAGTCGCCAGGAGGCCGTCCAAATGAACATCTTTACGGCTCTGCTTTGCGCTCTGAAGAACCTGACGGACAGCAAGACGAGTCTCGGCCAGGAGGATGTCAGGAAGAGTGCGACGGCATTAGTGGTTGCTTCGCTGACAAGTGCCAATTCCACCATTCGATGTGCGGCTGGAGAGGCTTTGGGTAGATTGGCCCAAGTGGTGGGCGACTCCCATTTCACCGCGGAGTTGGCCCAGAATAGCTTCGATAAATTAAAGTCTGCCAGAGATGTGGTAACGAGAACGGGACATTCGCACGCCCTGGGCTGCCTGCATCGCTATGTGGGTGGCATGGGCTCATCGCAGCATCTGAGCACCAGTGTGTCCATTCTGCTGGCCTTGGGTCAGGATAGTGCATCGCCTGTGGTGCAGGCATGGTCTCTTTATGCATTGGCACAGATTGCCGACTCTGGCGGACCCATGTTCCGTGGCTACGTGGAGGCCACCTTGACGCTGTGCCTGAAACTCCTCCTCACCGTTCCCCATGCGCACGTGGATGTGCACCAGTGTGTGGGACGGGTAGTGAATGCTTTGATTACCACCGTGGGACCGGAACTTCAAGGAGGAGGTGGAGCGGTGGCCAGCATGCGAGGATCCTTCCTCTGCTCAGCAGCTCTCCTCCAAGCACATGCGGATCCCCTTGTGCAAGCAGAGGCCATTGGTTGCCTGCAGCAGCTGCATCTGTTCGCCAGCAAGTCCCTCCAATTGGAGGAGCTGGTTCCGACGCTGGTCGGGATGCTGGCCTGCAACTATTTTATACTGCGCAAGGCCTCCGTGTCCTGCCTTCGCCAGTTGGCCCATCGGGAAGCTAAGGAAGTGTGCGACTTAGCGCTAACGATTAATGCCGAACAGCTTCCAGACTTGGTGATCACGGAGTACGGACTGCCAGGACTGCTTTTCTCACTGCTGGACACCGAAACGGATGCTGAGATGCTGAGGAACATACACGACACTCTCACTTCGATGCTGCAAATGCTGGCCGCTGATAATCTCAGCTCCTGGTTGAGTCTCTGCAAGAATGTCCTAACCGTAGCTGTGGAAGGGGGACTCAATGATGACACCGCTGGCGGGGAGCAAGGCAAGGGCAAGGAGGCCGGAGGAGAAGATGAGGAAGAGGACGAGGAGGAGGAGTACGCTGATGATGTAACAGAATACCGAGCAGAGGAGAACACTTCCACGCATCCGGCAGTGCAACCTAGGTGGCCCACTCGTGTTTTTGCCGCCCAGTGCGTCCGGCGGATCATTGCCAGCTGCGAAGCCGCAAGTTCAGTTCACTTTGATCTCCTGCAGGCCAAGGAACAGCAACTCATTCGCTCGCGCGGAGACTATCTCATCTTACACTTGGCGGAACTTATTCGAATGTCCTTCATGGCCGCCACCTCCGATTCGGATCAGCTGAGACTAGAAGGCTTGCGCACCCTGCAGGAGATCATCGATCGATTTGCTAACGTTCCAGAGCCAGAATTCCCTGGTCATCTGCTGTTGGAGCAGTTCCAGGCCCAAGTCGGGGCCGCATTGCGCCCAGCTTTTGCCCCGGACACGCCCTCCCATGTCACGGCCGCCGCTTGTGAAGTTTGCTCAGCTTGGATTGGATCTGGAGTAGCCCGCGATATTGGAGATCTAAGAAGAGTTCACCAGCTGCTTGTGAGCTCCCTTAGCAAACTGTCCTCGAAAACCAATAGCACGCAGTTGTACAACGAATCCATGGCCACCCTGGAGAAGTTAAGCATCTTGAAGGCCTGGGCGGAGGTCTACATCGTAGCCATGTTGGGAAATGGAAAGGCTCCCGCTTCTCTCCTCAATCTTCAATCTCAACAGTCCGGCTTGCAAGCCCTAACCAACGTGGAAACGGATCAGGATCTCCCTGACAGTCGAGGGGAGAGCCTTTTAGGCTTAGTGCAACCAGAGCTCCACAATCTGTCCACACACTGGCTTAGTGCCATGAAGGACCACGCGTTGCTGCTTCTCCCGGCGGAATTCCAATCCCAACTTCCACACGACGGAGGCGCGTTCTATACTACGGATACAATTAACTCCTCAAAGCCACATTACATGACCAGTTGGCCTCCAATTCTCTACGCCTCCGCATTGTGGTTGAGGGATGAGGGATTCGCCCGCCATCAAGATACAAGTGAAACCACAGCAGAGTCGAACAATAACCAGATAACCCATGGCTCCCTATCTGCGGATCGCTTTCACATGATTTTCGGCATTTGCATGGAGGCTCTCTGCAGCATGCGAAGTTCTGAGAGACCCAAGAATATCGTCAGTTGCCTACGATCGCTGCACAGCATCTTTGATTCGGATTGGGCAAGGAGGCAGTTGGTCAGGGACCGCGCCCTTACCATTGAACTCTGTCACGTTCTACATCGTCAGATATTGACGAGGGATGAATTGCTGGTGCAACTACTGTGTGTGGAGATTCTGAAGCAAACGATTCGCGCAGCGAGGGAAGATCTGGAGAGGAAACGGGACGATAACGCGAATTCCGAAGACGGAAAGGGTGGAGAGCGACTGGGTGAAGATGACTCAATGCAACCAGGAAGTTCCCATGTCTACGCCGTTCTGGAAGTTTGTCTTTGCCTGTTCGTCCGCCAAATTCCTACCATGAACCCCACAAGGCAAGGAACTGGTGGCTCCGGACTGCAGCTGGACTTTGCCTATGCTAAAATGGCCACTGGCTCCTCCTTCTTCTCCGTTCTGGGCGATGACAACGGCTTGCTGGTGGCCAGCGGTCTGCAGTGCGTCGAACAGTTGTTAGATCTGTGCACTCCCAAAGGTGCCCTGGCAATCCTGCCCACCGTCCTGTATATGACTACCACTATCGTTAAGGAAATCGCCAACAAGTCAGCTATAGATAGTACCATACTGGCAAACACTAGTGCCGTGAAGGCTGCCCTGCAGTGCTTGCAGTCCGTTTGCGTCCACAAGTGGGCCAAGGTGGACGAGACAACCGAGGAATGGCAGCAGTTGCTTCAGAGTGCCCTGGCAACTATCGTGGATCTTACTAAAACTGCTGGAGATAACGATGAGAGGAAAGTCGATGAGGTCACCATGCTGCTTGCAATCACTGTATTCATCCTGCATACGCCCGCCTCCGTTGTGGCCACCCCCTCCCTGCAATATCCGTGCATCAATCACTTTCGGCAGTGTCTGCAGTCGGAACACCTTTCTGTAAAGCTGCGCTGCATTGAGACCACGCGATCGATCTTTGCTCGGGCTGAACTAAAGACCGCAACTCCCTACATCCATGCTCTGGCGCCCAGGATAATCGAGTCTCTGTATGCGGAGTCCAGCAAGATGCCTACAAGCGAACTAGAGCTGCAGGTAACCGTTGAGAGCATCGTTACCGTGGAGCAGCTGATCGATCTATCGGAGCCACAGCATCGTAAGTATTGGGTATACTCTAGAAACCTTTTGTTTGGTCTCATTTTATGTTTGGGTACTCCTGATAGTTTCTTTGCGAGCTTGACTTATAAAAAAAAATATTTTGAGTATGGGTACATTTACAAAAAAATAGCAATAATTTGAGCAGAACTTTATTATAATCAATATAAGATTCAGTTTGACTATAATTCTTACCGGTTTTATATCCTTTGTTACGAGTCATTGCCTTTAATTTTTTATTTCTACAAATAATAGCAGGAGTACCCATTCCGAAAACATAGTTCGTTTCAAAATGGAACGCGATAACCCTCTTCCCGCCTTTCTAGTTGACCACTGTCCCCCTTTTCACCCCAACATTTGCATAGCCTTCGCATTTGCCATTTGGCTGCTCTGTCTTAGCAATTCTTTTTATTCAAACGCAGCCAAAGTATTGAAAAAGTGGCATATGTATGTTATGAACTGCACATTTTAAAGACAAGAAAAGAAAATACGTTATTATATATTTGTTCTTTTCTCTGTCTTCTCTTTTAATTGACTCACATACCATTTCTAAAAAAAAAACCATTCTAAAACAAAATAAAAACCGTTAGGAAACATGAACTTGCTACAAGGTAAATAGAAGAGCTCGAACAAAAATTCACATTTTTCATGTAAAAAAAAAAACACGTTTTAGAAATACAAGGCAGTTTGATTACCTTTGAAATAAAAACTTCATTATTTGTTTTTCTATCCTTAATGATATTAATGTTATTTAAAGAAAACTTGTAATTTAAAATTTCTTTACTGTCTTGTAGTTTTAAAATGCGTCGTATACTGCACACACGATGTTTTTCAATGCACCACTTTATAGAATAGCTAACCGTCTAGTAATAGTTGACGAAGAAAACCTCGCTTTCAGTGTTGCATGTCTGAAGTATGATGTAACTGTATAGCGCGATATATCCATTGTTTCAAAGGATATTTTGTGTTCCTTGTCCCTAGGAGGGTTCAAAAATAATCTTTACTTCCCTTCCTCTCCACAGACATTCAAATGCTGACTCTGTTGGTGCCGGTGCTCATTGGATTCCTAGCTGAACCCAGTCGTTTTAGGACGCTGCCCAAGTACCAGAGGCAGTTGCACGACCAGGCTCTGCAGTGGCTGCTCAAGATCGGACCCAAGTACCCGCAGGAGTTCAAGGCTTTAATGGGCCAAACACCGGAGCTGAGACAGAAACTAGAAGCGGCCATACGCAGCCAACAGCAGTCGATAAACATTGCAGCAAAAGCAACGGAGGCACAGAGGAACCTGTTGGCCAAGCCACAGAAGCCCACGATCAAGCTAAAGACGGATTTCAGCAATTTTCAGTGAGAAAAGCCACTAGGAAACAGAACAAAAGTCCACAACCAGCTAGTGCTATCGTGAAAATGCTTTGCAAAAAATTGATACCCCATGTAAATTATTAGGAATTGGTTCTTTTGATTTTGAATTTGAGGAATTAATATTTATTCAAATCCGGGCCATTTCGCTTTTGGGCATAAAGGTTTGACTCTACAATTGTTCTCAATGGCAACAAATTATGAATTTGTTGAGCAGCGTTACGAGCGATCAGCCTTAAAAGTGATTGTGCGATTGATAACATAACATAAACATAAAATTGTTCGTACAGCTTGTGTTTTAAACAATATAATCTTATTTGCTCATTAAGACAATTTGGTTAAAAAAATAATTTATTTCATAGGAAGATTAAACGTAATATATGACCTTTACTAAGCGAAGCAACAATTGTTTATTTCACTCAGAAACTCGAGCCACCCTAATGCACATCGCTGAGGTAATCCTGCGGTCCGGCATTTGTTTTTGCTAAATGTGAAACACAATGAATGTACCTACAAGTTTATACATTATTTGTTAGCTATTGTAATGAATTATTATACAACGCGATATAAAGTAAAAATAAAACTTATAAAGCTTAACTTTACACTTATACATCTATTTAACATTTCTTACGGAACTATATACTCCTCTTCCTGTTTTACTGTACCCATCATTTCGTCCTCGCTAAAAGGCTCCGATTTAAGATTGTCCCTTTCTTCCAATTCGGGATCAAACAAAACCACATTTGACCCGATTTTGGCGAAATCAGGAGTGGGTCGTGGGAGAGTCAACAAAGCTGAGGGAAGATCCGTGAAGAGATGCGATTCCAGGCGACTTAGAAGAACTGTGCGATAAAAGAGGGCTCTTAACCGTTGACGGAAGAGCTGGATAGGTGGTGCAGATTCATCATAGTCGAAATCCTGACCCTTTGGGTCATGCTTGCGATAATCGCCGGAGAGAATGCACATGGCACGAAAACCCATCATCGTTGACCAATTAGGCGGCAAAAAGGACTTTTCAAATCGTTCTTTTCTTCTGGCAGGCTTCTCATCTTGATATTGTAGAACTTAAGCAGCTCGATTGGCATGACGATGTTTTGGAGGTGTATGGGACGGATGGATGGCTTATATGCAAGCGCCCTAACTACATAGCCAAGGTTATTGGTGTCTTTCGGAAGTGGAAAGATTGTCGGAGATATCAGCGGCAGATTGTAACTGTACTTGAAAAACTCGCAGAACTCCATGTCGACCTTGGCCAACCTGGTCGATTTACCCGCCTTTGTGGGTAAATCAATTCTAGGTTTCTTCGATTTGGGTCCTTGCTGACGAAAGCCTTTAATCTTTTCAGCCATGACTAAGGACTCCGGGTTCTCCTGCCATTCCTGCAATCGCTGTGCCCAATTCTCCGAAGTGACCACAGACACCTTTCTGGATCGGCGGCGAGGCAAATCTTCTACCTTAGCATTGGGGTTTTGTTCCAGGAACTTTTTAATGACCAAAAAGCGGGTTCGACAGCTGGTCCGCGAGTGGTTGCCCAAGAATGTGGCGCAGTTCAGCCATTGAGAGGCACCGTGCTGGGTGACAAAGCTCATCAACTGAGTGTCGTCGTGCACGGACCACGAGTCAGTCTTGTTGCGTTGCGCCAGCACATTGTGGTAGCGCGTCCTCAACTGGGCCAGGGATCGGTTTGGAAAGAGGGTGCGTGGAAAGCAGTGAAACTTCCCATTGTACTCCTCCACAGCGGCGAACAGCATCATGTCCTCTTTAGTACTGAACGGTTCTAAAATAAAAAAAAAACAGAAGATCTGAGACGAGAAGGGCAAACTAACTTCGTCACTAATACCCACCATGGCTGATGCTGGGATGTAGCACGTAATAGTAACGTCCAATTAGGGTCGACTTGGACTTGCCCGGGAAATACTCCACTATCTTCTTCCAATTAATTACGCCATTTGCAGTATTCCTTTCGGCCAGCACCCGGAGTCTATCGTTTTCGTCGTCGCTCCAGCGGTAGCTGGTTTTTGGCTCCAGCAGGTGGCGCAGCGCGGTGTGAAAGCGGACAAAGCACTGGTAGTCGGATCGACGGTCCAGCGCGGCGGCTATCAGCTCCCAGTTCTGCATCCGGTTCTCAGAGGCCACCGCCAGCAAGGTGTCGTCTTCCTCCGCTGACCAATCGTCGCGGTTGAGATCAGGATGCAGGTAGACCTGCCACATAGCCTCACAGCTATACGGAGAGTGGCGAAACTCCAAGTCCAGTGTGCTGATCTGATTCCAGTCGATTCTGAAGCTGCTGTCTGCTGTGGCCAGCAGGCTGACCAGCGTGTTTTGGTGCCGAGCGGTCGGCTTACGTTTTAAATTAGGCGTAGTGGTCCCACTATGAGCGCTGTGGTCAATTAACTGTCGATATCAAATAAAAAAGTTTTACTCTGTGCTATGTACATAAGAAATAAAAATTTTTTTTTTTTTTTGTTTATAAGGTTGAAAGACCGTGGGCTGGTAGTTAATAAAACATTTTTTGATTATTTATTTATTTTCTTTTATTTTTTCCGTGGTATAGGAACCATCCAATTTTATTATTTTATGTAAATTATAAGTTTTATTTAAGACTTTTAGCTTTTTTTTTAGTTTTAGCTTTAAAGTGTCTAAATTAACCCGCCTGATAATGTAATCGGAATACAAACACATCACTGTCGATATGCCGATTTTTGATATTCTATCTATCAGACTTCTATTCAGCATCAATTCTGGGAAAGAACACGAATTTGTTAATTCCGAATTTTCGCAAGCCTTTTACAATAAAAAAAATGGATATCGGTAAAAGTTAACAAACTTTTTAAGTGTTCTGTTAACCATCTGCTTTGTTTGGTAGAATCACCAGATTTTTGGGCAACTCTCAAGGCAGATCTACTTAAGGCCGACAATTTAAAAATTATCTTTATCGAAGAAATAATAAACGATCTGAAACAGGCTTTACTGTCGGAGTTTACAGGCGTCTCAATATATGCTTTTGGGTCACGTGCTCTGGGTGTCGCAGTCGATCTTTCAGACCTGGACTTGTTTGTGGACATCGGTATATGTATATCCTTTTTGTACCTAGATTTATTTTGTAGTACAGTGACTTTGCATGAATTCAAACTTTCATCGGTCAATATAATATATTATTTTGCTTAACAGGCTATGGTGTATACAGCGAAACTGAAACTAAGGAAGCATTGGAAGTTCAACTGAAAATCTATAAAGCTATTGGGCGACTTTACAGTAAGTGGACGGTAATTAAAACCTGCGGTGGCAGAATCCCCTTAGTAGTGGTTCGTCATAAGAGTACGAAAATCAGATGTGATATCAGCTTCTCGAATAAGATGACTTACGATCAGAACCGAATTGTTAATTATATCTTCAGTTTGCAGCCTATAGGTAGGTATTAAGCTTATTTTAAACACTGAATTAGTTATTGAACTCAGTATTCTTCAGCTCGATACATGGTAATATATTTACGTCGCTGGGTTCAGAAGAATCAGATAGCTGGATTTCGGGTGCACATATTGATTCTAATGGTAATATTCTTTCTACAAGTTCGTGGCAAATTGCCAAGCGTTTCCGAACTTCAATCTGGACTTTCTCCAAACATAGGCCGTAAGTTGGAGCTCTTAATAAAATAGTATTGTATATCCGTCGTTGTAACTCTCAATTTCAGCATGGATAACAAGTTATACGAAACTTGGTTTGTCGTATTTCAACATGAAGCCCATTGCATTGAATGAGTCGGAGAGTCGCTCTATTTTAAAAGATTTTTTTAAATACTATTATATGTTCGACTTCAAAGGGCAAGTCGTAAGTCCCTGGCTTGGACGGAAAGTCAGTCGCTTTGAGCTGCAGTCAATTGTGTCACAGAGGTCGGTATGATGGCACTTTAATTCTTAACAACGTCATAACTTTGGTATACTCTAGATGCAAAGATTGCCGTGGAATTGATATAGACCGTGCGATGATCGTTCAGGACTTAGTTCATCTAAATCAAAACAAAGCCTTCAGCATTGATACAGAGAAATTTGGCTGCTTTGTGCGGAATTGTGGTATTTCCATTTAAGATTATGAAAACACTAAGTTTTTAAAAAAGACTTCATTTTCGTAAATTTTTATCTGGGAAGCCGGCTCACCTGTTGTTTGATTCCCATGATCACGTTCTTTTTGTCCAGCAGTGTCCAAACATGACGAGAGTGCATATCAAAGTCGGTGGGGAACATCTCCGTGTGGCAGCGCGTCTCGTAGTCCTCGTTATTAGGACAGCTCCTGCCGTCGATGTCTCGAAAGAATAGGTTCCCTTTAAAGCGGAAAGTGCCCTTTCGCAAGATCGCTCCGCTTAAATTAACAGAGTCCGTTCCGTACTGAGAGCGTGGCCTAAGGCGGCGAACCAGGATTTCCTCATTCCGAGCGAATCGGGCTCGCACCATTTGCAGCATAGCCAGGATCTTGGTCCTGACTTGAAGAAGGCGACGCTGCATCTCCTGATTAAGCAACAGAGCGTTGGCATCACTTGCCTTTGTGGTGGTTTCCAAAAGGGCGGAGATCTCGGTCAGTAGCTGCTGCTGGTTCAGCCGCAGATCCTCCACTCCATCCATCTCGGTTTGTTTTGTTTATTTGACCTGGAATACCGCAGTATAGCGACGGACTAAAAGTGTTTTAACTATCGATAACATTGCTGGGCGGATCCTATAAACCTAGGCCATTGAATTTAGATACTCTTCAATTCGTGCTAAAATAATATGTAGGTTTGCTCAAAACAAAAATTTTAGAATGTATGAATTTATTAAATCATGCTTGAAAGCAATATGTCTGATCTGAAATAATTACAGCTCTTAACAAGATAGAATGTGGTATCGAGCGTACCTTCAAACATTGCAACTTTGCTGTATATTCGAGCGGTAAGGCAAGCCCGGATAGCATTATATCTTGCTTAATATACACTAGCTTTAATTTTTAGTTTTTCATTTAAAAAAAAAAATTCAGTGCTGATGTCCAGTTTACTGTCTTGTTTTTAATTTTGTATTATTTTTCACGAGGATATGAAATCAGCAGGCGGGCAAACAAGCTGAAAAACCAAGCATACCCCCACTAAATCAGTCCGATGATCAGCAAAAAATAGCGACCGATGACACTGCCTATCGACAGTCGCCTATCGTTGCTGCTCGAGAAAACAACAAAAGAAAAAAACGCAACTTAATTAACAAAATTCGCGGTGAATGCGCTAGCGTAACATGGACGATGTCCCGGTTAAGATAGTTGAGCGCTACAAACCCCCGCCAGACGTCTTCCACCTGCCACAGGCAACCCTCAACCGCCTGTCTCAGTTCCGGGAGGATTTCTACGCGGAACATCCTGACTACCAGTACGATGGCCAGCTGGAGCGTGCGGTGCTGAGTCAGGCGCACCGTTGGCGACAGGTGCGACGTCAGCAGAGACAAGAGCGTAGCAGCCGACAGGAACGCCGCAAGCAGGAACGGCAACGGGCACTGGAAGCCAAGCAGAAAGAGATGCTTGGAGCTGTCGACTACCCAAGCACGGATGATTTGTCATCGGACGAGGAGGAGCAGCAGGAGGGAAAAGACCTGGCACAGAAGGAGGAAGAGCAGGCACCACCCGCCACCTCTGAGTCACGCGACTCCTCGCACGAACCAAAGTCAATAGGCGTTTGCAATTTTCACAACATCTTGCAGCCCACCATTCTGAGTGCCACTCCGGTGGCTAGTCCGCAGACGCTGCACAAGCGAAACAGCTCCTTAAACTACGCGGACTTCGAGTACAATATGAACTCCACGCCTTTTGACAACATCGAGCTGAAAACCATCAACGATCTGGACATACTCGCTCAGGTGCTTCATCAGACCCAGTTGGAGGAGCGCAGGGATCAGCAGCAGCAGCAGTTGGACCAGCCGCAAAGGGATGATCATTCCAGGGAGGAGCAGCCCCATCAGGAAGTGCCAGCTCCTGTGGAGTTAACGATGACCACGCTGGCTGAGACCAAAGCAACGCTTGACAGCGTTAATTTCCATGTTCACTGTGATGATGACGAGGGCCGAAGCGAGACTAGTAACATTCCAGCCACGCCTCTATACCAAACGCCCATGTACAGCTCTACCGCCCAGCAGCAGCTGCACAAACCAGAACACTTCCAGGTGGGAAATTATTGACTAGCAACTTAGAGAAATGACTTGAATCTGTTGACTTCGTTAAAAAAAATTTGAAATATTAAGTCAATATTTTCTTAGTTTACCCGAAGGTATTGCTGCAATTTTGAGTTAAAATGGTGTTAATGGTATTATCAAGAATATTTAATTGTAATAAAGAGGGATATCATTTTTCACTACTTTGTTTTTTCTTTAATATTATAACCATTAAGGGACTAACATTTTATATTTTTGCAATTACGCCTTGTTAAGAATCTTGTCAATCTGCTAAGCGTTGTTGCTGTAACCTATTTCGTTCCAGGTTTACCACATGCAGGGCTTTAGTCAACACTCCCCCCATACGCAACCTTACCAACAGTCCAACAACTATTACGTTAATGGATTCGGCACGCCTATCCATTTGTTGGCGCCTCCTGCGCCTTCCTCTGTACTGACCCTCAGTCAGGCGGAGGACGAGGTGGCCACCAAATCACGGAGCGTACCGGACATTTTGCGGGAGCTGAAGACAGAGCTGCAACAGGCGGAAAATCGTCGCAACCGTTTGCACAGCCACAACGAAGAGCATCAGCCAAAGATGGAGGTGGCGGTAGATAGAAACTCATTTAGGGACCTGGCAGGACCGGCCCAGAAACTGGCGCAACGAATTAGCACCATGGGCTTTCCTCTGGAGCGAGTGGCAAAGGTTGTTAGTCTGTGCGGCATCGATGATAAAAAGGTGAGTCCACTGATAGACATTCTGAAAGAGCAGAAAGTCACTCGCAATCTTGTTTTCACATCTAGATTATCGAACACCTAATTCCTCTCGGTGAGCTCATGGACCTGGGCTTTGACGAATCGAAAATCTCGGCGGCGCTTCTCAAGTTTAACAATAACAAGGACAAGGCGCTCGACTATCTAATCAACTAGTTCAATTCAGGGCAAACCTTTTGATACGGCCAGCTTTTACCCCATGCCCTTTCTCCGCACCCCACGCCCACTCAGTATACCAAGATGGGTCCTCTAAATGTATTTTTATTATTACAAGTTCTCGTGAGATATTCCTTGCTTAAGTTGGGAGTTGTATGCTTCAGAATCCTCGGCAGCAGAATAAATATAAGTCCGTAAAATAAGCAAAGTTAGTTGGCTAGTAAGTCAATTAATGCCAAGACATTAAGTTCTTGGAAGACCCAAGGAAGGCAGGAGTGGTCTAATTTTCCAGCATTAAAAGATTAATGGCGTGCTCCACGTTCCCATCCGATAGGGTCAGAAAGTTGACGTTTTGCGAGTGATTGATAAAACCCATTGCGGCCATGGTACGCAGCTGTTCTGTAAAACGATGTCGGCGGTAGCAACGGGGCAACACATCGCTGTCATCACCTCCGTCATCCTCGTCATCTACATCGTCTGCTGGTACTGCGGGGACTGCTTCAGCAGCTGGAGCTCCTCCGGACTCTACCTCCATGCTCTCCACCGGAGGTGGATGCTGCTGTGCCAAGGCTTGAAAAGCCCGGGCCAGCTCATTGCGGAACAGTTCTGAGGAGATGGAGCCGCTGCTACTGGCTGCACTGCTTCCTGCCACCGTTCCCGATGTTCCTCCAACGCCTGCTAGTGGCGCGGAAGTCGTTCTCGGCCTCTCATCACCTTGCAGGGCCTCGTCCGCGTTTCGCTGGGCAATATTCGACAGCGAATTGAACGAAGTGACGTTGGCTAATGCGTTGGCGAGTTGCTGGCGACTAATCTGTCGAATGTTGGCCATCTCATCGCGACGATTGGCGGCTGCTGCAGCTGCCACGGCTGTGCTACTGCTTCCACCACTGCTGCTGCTGCCAGCTCCTAAGGAGTTCTCCTCCTCAGACGAAGTTGTCGACTCTGAAGCGGCCTGTTCTTGGACTGCAAATGCAAAATGCTTGTAGCGGTAAGAAATAAATTGAAAACAAAAATTTTTTTACACTGGGTGGCCGAGCTGTTCCTAGCAAGTTCCTTGCGAATGGTGTCCACAATAAAAGGGGCCGCCTCGCATATAAGAGGATAATCTTTGACTAGATTCTGTACTACCTCCGGCTCGTGGAGCATATTGAACAGCACCGAATCACGGATCAGGGCTTGGGCGCCCAAATTGCGTCTAAACTCAGGATACTCTGCGAGTATCTTTTGCAAGATGTTGAACCGAGAGGTCACACTGATCTGGAGGTGGGAAGTCAGCGAAAACAGCTCCTGGATATGCTTTGTGTTAATCTCAGAAGCCGCTGGCGGCACATATGGCGTGTAGCGTTTGGTCTTCCGAAAGCAGTGAATCACGGCGTTGGGCTGCAATGACCGGCTGAGGGTGTCCGCATCCTCTAAAACGCGTCCGTGGTGGATGATCTCTGAAAATGCGCAGCAGATGACTCAGCACAATGCAGACAATGGGCAACAGTTTGGTTCGGAGGGTCACTCACCCAGTTCGCTGGCGTCGAACTGCAGCTGCATCTCCTTGGTGACCAGCGCCTTCAAATAGGCTACGTCCCGCTCCAAATCGATGTTGTGCAGCGGGTGCACATCGCTTAGCTTGTTCTTAAGCAGCGCGTACAGTGTATGCATAATGCGATCAATTAGTTTCCGCGTAATATTTTTTATTTTCTGTGGTCCGGGTGATTTTTGTTTTGCCTAAACTGGTTTGGAACTGGTTCCAACGATCCGTGTCGGCCACAGGGTGACTCTTTTACCCACCGATAATCGGGACCAAACCTATCGAAAAGCCATACAACGTCTTTTTTAAAGACGATTTAAGGCCTTCTATGAATAAAGGTTGCAGGTGCCATCGCCCTCAAGTACAAAAACGGTTTCAAGATAAGATACATTTTAATACATTTTTTTTCGGTAGCATACTGCATAGCAATAGCATATTGTTTTAATATTCATTTATTGTAAAACACTCCAAAATTAATTTTTATTTAATTATGTTAAAATATTCACATAATTTATAATTAAATTTTATTTCCCAAAACGTGTTTTTATTTACATGTGTAGCCGGGAATAGTACAATCTAAAGTTTTTTAAAAGAAAAAACCAAAAACTATTGCTAATTTAGCGTGAACTAAATAAGGCAAAATGTTTTTGGATTTATCGACCTATCGCTTTTTGACAATTTTCCGCTTTAACTATTTCAGGTGTACAATTTTAATTAATCATGACCACCACCGAAACTCAGACGGAGCGCCAGCGTAGGGTTACGTTACCACCGAAAAATGAAGACACCAACAAAGTTAATCAAAGTGACAAAAATGACGACCCCAAAAGAATTTCCCAAAGCGAGTTCTTCAGAAGGGAAACCACGGATAGATCGGATGAACCGATCCTCTCTTGCAACTTCGAAGTGTTTGGGATAGTGCAAGGTAGGTGGGTCCTGCCAAGGAATATATATAGTAAAAATAAATAAATAATTAAAAGCATCTTACAGGCGTGTCCTTTCGAATGGTAAGACCTTGCTATAAGAGTAACTATTGACTGAAAAACAGATTGGTAGTTCGTTTATGTCTGGAGTTTAAATGTTGAGCCTCTGAATAAGCGTCCGTACTCCTCTCTGATCCATTTTCAACTTTTTAGTACACCTTACGAAGAGCCCAGAAGCTGGGAGTTAGAGGCTGGTGCAAAAACACCACTGAAAACACGGTTAAGGGAGAAATTCAAGCACATCGACACTCTTTTGAGTCCATGTAGGTGAACTTTAGTTATCACCCAATGGTTAATGTACCGTTTTCATCCACAGGCGTCTGTGGCTAAAGCACACCGGGAGTCCTACTAGCCGAATCGACAAGTGCAACTTTAGTGACACTGTGGAAATTCCTGCGTTCACTTACCCAAACTTCTCGATTGTGGTAGAATAGTTTTGTTATTCCATTTGGAAAATAATGTTATGTTTCTTTGATTCTATCTATTTCAAAAATTAAGATTTATTTAATTTCTTAATTCGCAGATCGTATGCTCATTTTTTGATGATACTTAAAAATTCTTAACGTTTTGAAAAAGCTTTTTAAAAATATATCGAATATTGTTAAAAATAAATCGATTAGTAAGACCGCGCAATGGTAAGGATAGAATTCCACTGGTTTGGGTGGTTTTTGTTGGTGGGCCGGCGTAGTGAATGGGGCGTTGATTTTTTGTTTAATTCCAAGTCCAATCGTTAAAGCAACAGGTTGTTGCGCAGCTTCTTTAGTCAAGTGTGTACGACTATTAAAATCTTCAACAAATCATTAGAATGGCCTGCAATAAGTATCTAACCTTCAACAACGGCGAAAAGATGCCTGTGATTGGCATCGGCACCTGGCAGGTAATTACATATAATCACGTTTTTATTAAAATTGTTTAGATTAAATGTAATAGTGTAGGTTAATAGATTCTTATTTCTATTGTTTTAAATAATGGATCTTAAAAAATAGCTGACACGTCATTTTAGTTTCGAGATTCCGATGCAATCAACAGAATCTGTTGTGCTTTAGACCGGTTTTGAAAAACAAACAATAAACCTTATTCATATGCCTCTGGCTTAGTGGGTTTGACTTTCTCTGATCGGCTGAGACGGAATGTTATGAATAAAAGTTTTCCATTAAAGGGAAGGGGTCTACAAGCAGTATGTAGTACAAAATCAAAAGATAATCTTAACCACTAAACCACACTTTAATTATATTACTATAGGCATCCGATGAGGAAATTGAAACCGCGATCGACGCGGCTTTGGAGGCTGGCTATCGCCACATAGACACTGCTCCAGTTTACGGTAATGAGAAAGCCATCGGACGAGTCCTTAAACGATGGCTGGATGCAGGAAAGATTAAGCGGGAAGAGCTCTTCATCGTCACCAAGGTGCCACCTGTTTGTAAGTACAAAACACTCTGAACAGCACAATAAGTTTTTTTTTTTAATTTGTGTTAAAAAAATCTTGATAAGATAACACTAAAAATAGATTATTAAAATCAAAAAAAAAAAAAAAAAATTAATAGTTCTAACGGCATATGTATAAGCTTTAAACAGACATAAAACTGAAGACCATCGATTTCTTAGTGTACAGACAGCTTATAATATCTAACGTTTTTCCTTTCTCAAGCGAATCGGCCCCACGAGGTGGAGCCCACCATCAAGAACTCACTGGCCGATCTGCAGCTGGACTATATCGATTTATACTTGGTGCACACCCCATTTACCATTAACATCAACGAAGACGGCAGCTTTAAGGTAGATGAATGCCGTAGTCTATTCCACGTTAATCTTTATTTTTGATATCAACTTTAAGCTCGACAAGGATGGTCTGATGGAGGTCGATGTGACCACCAACCACGCTGCAACATGGGCTGCAATGGAGGCACTTGTGGAGAAGGGTCTCGCCAAGTCCATCGGTGTTTCAAACTTTAGCAAAGAACAAGTGGCTCGCCTGCTGAAGAATTGCAAGATCAGGCCAGCTAACAACCAGATCGAGCACCATGTTTACCTGCAGCAGCGGGATTTGGTTGATTTCTGCAAGTCCGAAAACGTGACCGTAACCGCCTATTCTCCACTGGGTTCCAAGGGAATAGCTAAGTTCAATGCTGGCGCTGGCATCGTCAGGGATGTGCCCGATTTGATGGACATTCCGGAGGTAAAGGAAATTGCTGCCGCACATGGCAAGACACCAGCCCAGGTTCTGCTTCGCTGGATTATCGATACAGGTGTGTCCGCGATTCCCAAGAGTACGAATCCCGCTCGCCTAAAGCAGAATCTGGATGTTTTCGACTTCGAACTGACGGCCGAGGAGGTGGCCAAGTTGTCCAGTTTGGATAAGAACATCCGAGTTTGTGACTTCGCCTTCTTCCATGGGTACGAAAAATGTAATTTAACTTGAACGGCTTTTTTGAAGACATGTTTAATATTTCTTGCAGTGTCGAAAGGCATCCGGAATTCACCTTCAAGAATCAGTACACCAACTAAAAATCATTTTTGGACATAAAGAAACTTAAAAAGGCGCACCGAAATATATATTTGGAAAGCATTACTTTACAAGGTATGAAAAGAGAGCCATGTAGAAGTTTTATACGATTTATAAAACAATTGCAATTATTGTTAAAATTCCATGTTTGCTAGTTTTTGTGAAAAAACTTTTGTCATATAACCCACATACATATTTAATACTCTGTGTTTAATGTTATGGTTACACCAATAAACTATTGAAAATCTAGTTATTTACTGGTTATCTTTGGCATTCAGGAGGTTAAAGGTGCTGGTTGTTGTTACTATTTTCAGTTGAACAGGTTTTCCCCCTGCCACTGATTTTCCGTCTGCGATGTCGTTCGATTTTTCTCTGCTGTCGTTAACGGTTTCGTTGACCCCGCCGGTGATCGAGCTGGAAAGTAACTTTCAAAATAAGAAAAGCTTGCAGTCAACGTGGCTTACAGTTAGTATAGAAATATATTTGCAACACATTTTTTATCTATGTTAAAACAAATCACAAAATTTACATTAAGCAATTAGTAGCGAGCACAAAATCGGTACTAAAAGGCTTTGGAAATGTTTCGCGACTACAAACAATTCGAGGTACATTTTTTTATGTAAAACAATATCAATAGCAGAGATATTAGGTAGAGTTTGCTACTCTGACGGAATCTGAAATACTTTAACATTTTAGTACAATTAAAAACCAAATTGGCAAAGCAGGAGGTTTAGCAACTGCGAAACGAATAATAATAGTCAAAGGAAATCCCCAGCATAAGTCTGGAGTTCGATATTTGGGCCAAGTTCACGTTGATTGTCAGGTATTTGGCCACACAGCTTATGTTAGTTTGCAGTTCGAGTATTAAAAGGAAATTCGTAGTTTCTGTTCCATGCCAACTCACGTGGTCCGCGTCTCCTCATCGGTGCTGTTTCTGAAATACGTAAATAATCGACATTAGTTTTGGATAGGCACGTAAAGAGAAGAAATCTACTGCAAGCAAGCAAAAAATCACTCACTTTAATCCTTGGGCCGCACAAGTCTGATAAAGTTCATACTTTGCATGCAAATCAAACAAATTCATCGAAATTGCTTCCTAATGTCTAAGTTACCTGGGTTCTTGGTGGCTACGCATGGCTAGAGTGGCCACCTCGAAGAGTCCTATGAAGAAGCAAAGCATAAGGGGACCGAAGATTGCTCCCTGCCAGCCAATCCAGTACATGCCACCCGCTATGGCCAAACCATTCAGGTAGGGATGACCTCCACTAAAAAGTAAAGTAATGTAAGAAAATGTTATTAAGCATTTATAAAAAACTGTTTGGGTTTAGTTATCATTTAAGGAACTCACCCCTTAAGATCAGCATATATTGCCGTTTCAAATGACGATGGAACAAAGAACTGAAGGAGGAAAAGTATCAGTCCTGCATAAAAGCGATCCTGGGCGAGCCACAGTTCCAAGAATGCTGGAACAGCACACCAATAACTGCCAAGGAATGGAGCAGCTGCCAGCATGGCTGCCAATGCGGAGGGCAGGAAAACTATTCGAGCTCCGAAGACTGTGTGCACCAACCAGGTGAACAAGCCCGTAAATGTGGAGCACCTGAACATTGAGACTAGGACTACGGTTATGGAATTTTCCAAGGCATCGGCTATTTTAATGCCCGAGCTGGAATAGCCCAAGTACTTTGTGATCTGCAGAGGCGCGTATTTCTCCTGGCTGCTTGAGAGCAGATAGAACAGGGCCGTAAAGAAAACAATCTGAAGATTGGAAATCACTCTAATAATAAAACGGTAGTGCCATTTGCAAGCGATTGCAAATTGTTTTTAATTAAAAAAGTATATATATATGTATAGAATAAATTGAGATGCTAAATTCTGATTTTAAACTTAAAACTGGGTGTTCTGTTTACACTTACCATGTCCAATATGAATTCAATACACGCCTGTCCACCAGATAACACCAGGGATAAAATCTCTCCAGTCACGCCCATGATCATCGATAGATTGGTTCGAATTATGTGCCACAAGGACTCTGCGACCTCGAGGATCGTCTGCGTATTGCTCTGCGCCCAGCCGATAATGCCCTGTTTTGCCACTAAAACTAGCTCTTTAAAATGTCCTTGGTTAAATAAACGGCCGTTGGTTAGCAGATGCAACACAGAATGAGTTATTTTGTAGACGCAAACGAGTGTTACGGGATGGATGAAGCGAGCAATAGCTCAACAAAGGCCCGTGAACCCATGCAAAACCCCGAAAATAAACTCAAAAATTAATTAGTAAAAGGGGTCAAAAGAAAATTGAAAAAAGCCAAAAGGGGTGTGCACCAGCTTACCTGGATTGTCAACGATCTCGCCAAACGTGCTCTTCAGTGCATCCGTGGGTACACGCGGACCGTAAGAGGTGCCCGCCTTGTTGAAGTCGATCCAATACTGGATTAATCTGTCCCAAACATCGAGAATCTGTTCCTTAAGTTTGGTGGCGTGCACCTTGTCAGCGTCTGCCAGCCAGTCATCGATGTAGGTTTCAATCTTACGGCGCCCATAATGGTGCGCATTGTCTAGCGCATCATCAATGGACGCCTGCATGTTGGCGGGCAAGATATCAATTAGCTCAGGCCGATCTGTGATCGTCTTGTTAATTAGATCCTTGCCCAGGTAGGCCACCTCAATCGTCTCCGAGTAGATATTCACGCAGAAGAATACGCTGAGAAACACGATGATGAGCAGCATGAGGATGATCATAAGAATGGAGGTGACCGACTCCACGGAGGACTTTAGGGAGTCCCGCACAATAGTGTTGATTTTGTAGTTTAGTTCTAAAACACCGGGCAGGCAAAGTGGCAGCACGGCGGAGTGATGTTCGATGGCCCACGACTGCAACGTTTGTGGTATTTTAATTCTTGTCTTTTCAATAATAATTTTGGAGTTCTTACCCTTAGTGTCGCATACACTTCGTAGATTTTATTGCAAGCAAACTGGGTTATACCCGTATAAGCTCCCAAAGTGTATATAAGGTGCAGCAGTACTGGAATGGCTGCCAGGATAAACATCCACACGTTGCGGTACAAAAATGTACCCAAACAGGCGTAGAACAAGAGCTTGAAGAACGTATCGCTCTGGTGTCCTGTCGCCTCGTTCTCCGGCTTAGCATCGAACGTGTCTGTGGAATCGACAGTGTCGCTCAACGAGATGTCTTCCGCATCCGACTGCAAGCCCGGGCTGAGTGGCTCACTGCTCGGTCTGCCACAAATGCTGAAGTTGCTCAGCGAGCGCTCGAAATCGTTTTTATCAAACAACTTTTGTAATCGATGCAGGTAGGATCCCGAGTCCTCTATCGTTTGCAAGTGGTATACAGTAGAGGCAGTAACGTAGGCCATGACCAGTAGAAACACTGGCACCTGTAAGGCGCCCAGAAAGCTGCTCAGGTAGCCTGCGACGGCAATCCACATAGACTGGCCAGCGACTACAAAATGGGAGCTGTTCTCTGGCGTCCAAAAGAAGTGGACGCTGCACAAGTAAACCGCAACCAATGAGATGAGCTGTATAAAATGAAAAAGTCTTTGTTTATTATCAAAATTCATATTTAAACAAAAAAAAAAAATAAAATATAATAATTCTATATTTGCCAATAATGAAACCGTGATCTTAGGGACATAAAAATTTTCATTTAAAATTCAAATGACCAATTTTAATTTTTTCCAATTTTAGAGATTACTTTAAAAGTTTGAGACATCTGTCGTTTTTGTAAAATTAAGATTATGTACCACACGTCGCAACAACTTACCACATATACGTTGAGGAATCCGATGACTTGGACAAACAGCCCGTGCGAAAAGGTAATCCAGTGCCAGAGGGCCAGCAGAAAGCCCTTTGGAGCATACAGCACCAGGAGCTTTATGCATCCGGCCACTCCACATCCGGCCAGGAGTAGCTGCCAGTGCTCGCAGAGCCATCCGATCAGTAGCCGGCCACAGTGTTCCGTTGCCTCAAGGGGAGACAAGCAAATGGAGACCAGCACGTTGGAGTCGCGCTCTTCTAGGCGTTGGAACCATCCATTCACACTTTCGGCCAGCCGTCTCTTAAACGGGAAAAGCACTGCGCCCATGAGGAATGCCCAAAGCAGGGGGCGTACAAAGGGTCCGAGGATGAAGCAAACGGCAACGAAGGCAGCCACTCCGGCGGCGATCAGGAAGTTGTACATGGCCGCGCGGAAACTCTCATGGTTCTGGGACCTCATCCGGAGCAGGCGATTAAGAACGCTGTCGAACGAGCGATCCCGCCGAATGGGAATTGGTTCCGAGCGATTCATTTGGCTGCCCAGAGACACGGGAAACTGCAGACGGAAACAGAAAACCGGATTAGAACTCTATGTCCATGTGAGGGCACACCCGATTGACTATTTTCGGAACATATGTACTTGTGACGATTTTGCAAAGTGTTCTGTGTGTAGTAACAGATGATTTACATCGGTGCTGGGAGGGATTCCGGCTGAGACGGTGGAGTTGTTAGTTTCCGAATCTAGAATTGGTCATCGAAGGCGGCAGCAGCTTCCCCTCTCGCTTCGTTGGGGGCGGGGGAGCGGGCACACATAAACAAAAATACGTCGGGGTCAATTACGTCAGGCGGGCAGGGCTGTGAAGTGAGACGCTGTGCAACACTGCCGAAAAGCCGATATACGGTATACCCTCGTAAGGAACGATGTTAAACCTAAAAGTTTCTAGCGAAATTAAAAATTAAACTAGCGAAAAATAAAATTTAGTTCCGGGATGTTTTTGTTGTTATAAACTGTTAATTTTATTTAAAAATAAATTTAAAATTAAAACATACTCTAAAATGAAATTCAAATATTTGAAAGTAGGATCGGTTAAAATTTGATGTTTACACATATGTTTTATTTTTATATTAGGCATAGCACTTTATTCACACCAACACTAACAAGTATTCACTGTAATACAGTTCGGCGTTTACCAACACATTTCTTATTTCAAAACAAAAAAGGACGCCATGGAAAGTGAGCGGGCTTAATAATAATATTATTAAAATTGTTACAAACATATATTTTACAGATTTAACACTGCAGCAATTAATTGATCTTCAGAATATACAAAAAGAGTTGAACAGTATTAAGGATACCTATCTAAAGACCTACCGCCAGGTCCTCAAAAAGAAATTTAAAACAGAACTAAACAATTTAGTAGGTGATCGTACTTGCATAGTATAGCAGCACAATAACTTTTTTCTTTGCACACAGGTCCGGGCTGATTTCAACATAGTAAAATCCGAGTTAAAAGTTCCACCATTACCGGCCCTTCCTGTCGAAGAAGAGAGAAATGCATCCGCGATACAAGTAAGTTCCGTTTAATACTCAATGGCTGCATCTATCCTTAATGAACACTTTAACTAACAGTTCAGCGAGTTGGCTAAGGACTACGAATTCACTATGGACTGTTTGTCCTTGCTGTAGGATTGCTCCGATCGGTCTTTGGTGCTGTTAAGCCAATATCCACGAAGCACGCGATATGTGTGCTGCAGGCATTCCACCGAGGGGGATTGGCTCTAGGAATACAGATTATACACATTACATAAGGAATTATTGACAGTAGTGGACCTTACATTAAATAACGGTACGATGGGCCGTTTATTGAACTCGCTTCCTTTTGTACGTAATATCAACATGTACTTTACGTCTAACTACAAAAGAAAGATTTCATAAAATTATTAAATTAACAATCCTGGTGTCTTACAACCTCTTTTTACGTGGACAATCTAATAGAATTGGAATTTTCTAAAAGTTCATTATAAATTTTTTTTTTGGTTATCAGCAAAATTTGACTTGTGAGCATAAAAAAACGTGGTTTCTGTATTAAACAAGAAAAGCAGTTCTTACATCTTCAATGACTTCGTTGAGCACTATGTCCTGTATGTGACCACGCTGGACGCACAGCACCGATTCCCTTCCAAAAGACCGCACCGTCTCCGTCTGCAGGGCCATGTCCCAGCTGTAAAACAATCGCTCCGCCTGCACGAGGTTAAGAGTGGAGCGGATCATTAGGATGGCCACGGATACACAGGTCACTAGCGGATACAAGATGCGGGGCTGAAGGATGCCGATGTTCCTACTCCCAAAACCGAAGACTCCAACGAAGTAGGCGACGGCCAGGAAGACGAGCAGTAGCAACCGGCGCAACTTGCGCTGCAACTGGATTCCATGTAGCCGGTTTACTAACTCGATGCGGACCACATCGCCACCGCAGTGCTTGATGCACAGTTCCAAGTCCGCATCAGTCGATCCAGCATATTTGGCTTGCCGGCTGTAATATCTGTGAATTGTTACTCGCGGTTCCATTTTTGTGGTCTGTGGTGTGGTGCTCGATTTATTTACATTCGCATAGAGTGCTAGGTGCCTATATTTTTGATAATACTAAAACTTCTGATGGGAAATGGTCACACCTTACCTTGGACTCAAACCGAATGAGAAGAAGGCTTAAAACAGTGTTGCCAGTTTGCGCCTAATTTGAATTTTTTAATCAAATCAATCAAACTGAGCATAAATTTCCAAGTGCACGTTTTAGTATCGTAAATGCATTTCATTCACCGTTATGAGTTCGTTTAACAGTCAGACTTTTGCATTTGAATGAAAACGTGTTTTTTTGGGACAATCGAAATCGAAAACAATAAATAAAGTGCATATAATATGGCTTAATTAAATCCATTTTAAATTTACTGCCTCTTCTCATGCAAATCCACAGTGCAGATTATTCCCCGTGCTGTAAGGCTAATGAAATGCCCGACTTGGAACGCACAGATCCATCAATTAATGTTAGTTAGCTGATTCGTTTGGTTACTGTGTCAACCAGCTGACCTTGATATATTTTCACGATGGCCGATCAATGTTCAAACACGAACGCCTTGCGCAATTTCTAATGTCTCTCTTGTTTTTATATGCGTACTAAACCCCATCTTTATTTCTGCGTCTTCATCTGCTTCGCCGTCGTCATCAGCTTGCGTCTTCTCTGGATATTTTGGTGATCGAGCTGGCCGCTGATCGATTTGGTCGGAACTTGATCGGCGCTGAATGGGAAGTCCAGTCGTCGTGTTAATTCAATGCTTTATTGTTTTGAACACTTTTCTAAACGTACGGGCAACTCAATAAAGGCTGGCATATTTGTGTGGATGGGCTAAGTCGAAATTGGCAGGTCTTGAACGGGTTTGAGTTATAATCACGGGTTCGTTAGGGGGCGGGTGTTAGGAGAATGACTCGTCGCTCGGTTTATTATTCTTGCCTGTCGTTGGTATTTCACACTTTCGATTGCATTGCCTCAGACCAAAAATTCCACGGTAATGCAAAGGCGAGAATGATTTGCAGAATCAAAAAATGCCACTTGACTTAACCGTTATTAAATAATCAGAAAAGCACCAGCAAAATTAACAATGGCAGCAGTGCACTGAAAAACATTAATTAGTTATCGATAGTTTGAATTTTTAACCCACTTGCTTTTCTTAGTTACCAATAAAGGCAGTAACGATATATGTATAATTAACAAAAAATATTTTGTTTTGGGATTGTTGATTTGTTGATTTTACGATTTCATCATGACAAAGGTAAATACATAATATGTATATGGAATCTATGTATGTTCTAGGTTGTACATCTTTGGGCAGTGTTCAGGTGTTGCAATGCAACGTGTCGGTTGCTTTTGTGGCTTCGAGGGCTATTGAGACTGCGGTACCGCGAAATCAACGCATCAATCATCTTGCTATATGTTGCATAATTGCAGGGAGGTGCAGCCCGAGCGGCTTGAACCTAAACTAACTGCAACTACTCGGAGATCGGAGTCCGTAGTTCGCTGTAGAATTAATTCCCCTCACGCGGGATTCGATCATTTTGGTAATTTTACGAGAGACGCAACCTTGAACTCGGGGCTTTTATTATCGCCAAGCGCGGATAAGGCCAATAATACTAACGAGAGTCCAAAAAACACCATCGCCACGCCATGGATCCGAGCAACAAAAACACTCCCAAGCTTGGCCCAATAAACAATGGCTTTGGCCGGCGAACACCCACCAGATGCTGTCCAAAATCGGACGCTGTCCATCTGCGAGGCATCATTACGATCGTCACCTGGCCCGTCCGATTGAGTCTCGAATTGAAGTCAATGTTTCTGGGCCGAAGGTTGTGCCATTAAGCATACGCCGCGTGTGCCCGCAAAAACCAAACACCAGACGAAAAGCTGAGAAGCGCCTCGGCAAAAAGTCATTGTACTCCTGGCGGGAGATGAGCACCGGAAACGGCCGCCTTCGCACCGTAAAAAAAGCGACAACAAAAAAAATGTTTATTTCGGTCTGATTGATGGTCAGCATAAGGCGAGTCAAACGGAACAAGTGAAATTGATCGGCAGCCGCCAGCTTGTTCAGCATCGTGTATGCAAAATGCACTTCATAAAATTAGCATGTACTTAAATATTCAAAAACCAGGTGAACTTTTTATAATGGACACACACTGTCAACTAAAAGCTTGGATTGATAAAATTTCGCAAATTGGATTAGTATTTTAATTTGTATGGAAATTTTCGCACAAACTCAAGGTCTTATTTGATTATAAAGTGCTCATTTATTTTGATTTTAGTTCACATAAATTATATTATAAGGCGTGGCCTGCAGGCGCCTCAACTAATGTCACAATATGCATTTGTAAGCAGAATTCGCGTTTTAAAAACTTTTGTTACAAAAACTTGCATTTCAAACGAAGCTTTCGTGAAGTAAATATATATGAGTAAAACTCAAGTAGAAGAGCAACCATTAGTTTGTGATTGCTTGTTAAAGTCGTGTATTGTTTTATTTGCTTTAAGTTGTTATTAAGGTTTAGACTTGCCAAAAAGACTAGCTTCCATTCTGGGTTCTCAAAACAAAAACAGCACAAACAGATTACAAGCATCAAAATTTGTTATTGAACGGAAAATTTTAGCAGCGTAGGAATTTTTAGCAAACATCTTCAGCCAAAGAAATATTCCCAAACAACATATGAGTACCCATATTAGGCACTTTACGTCGGTTCAAGTTGTTTAATTCGTTGGGAACTTTTCCTACTGTCATTCAACCGCTAGAAAAGCCCTTGAAAAGATTGTATTTAAATTTTCCCGAATATGGCATACGCGTGTTTCCGATCTGCTGATGGGATCAGCAAAGGGCCACCAGTTCATAAATATTCATATTCATACATATTCTCCCCATCCATCTGTTTGAACATGTTAATACGGTGCGGCTAGATTACATGGTCAGTTACGTGTTATTCGGTAAGAATTCCGCAAATTGATCTTGTACGCTGCGGCCATGCAGCAAACTTTACGAAAAACGTAAATGCAAATGCAGTGAGACTTTTAGCAGGTAAATTAGAATCAAAATAGCAGAAGGGTCGTAATTGAGGGTAACAAAATAGTAGACGCAAGCCTTGCCAAAGTTCGATCTGACTGAGGTTGGTAAGCCCTATTCTAATTGTTGAGCTCACAGAAATCGATTAAGTATACCTAAGTTCCCCACGAAAAGCCAGCCATACGCTAGGCCCTCCCAGATATTAAGTATACGCCAGGTTGTCTCCAAAATCCGGGCAATGGTACACTTAAAAATCCTTCTGATTTTTTCTCTGCTGTTTGGAGGATTTATAAATTCTTATATAAATAAAATAGTCATATAAAAACTTTGTTGTATTTTAACGTGTATTGATACACACATATGTCTGAGGTACAGTAAAATTCGAACTATAATTTCCAATTTGTTCTTCTTCTTTCAGCAAAATGCCTTCAATATCATGGAATTGTATTTATCAATGAATTTCGGACGACTTACCTTTTAAACATAAAAAATGGTTATCATTTAAGAAATTATTTTTCTACATTTAAGATTAGTTTGTACGTGACTTAACCACCAGAAAAATTATTCCTTTTTTAAGGTTCTAATTTATTTTAAGAAAAGTTCATATCCTTTAAAAGAATATACTTTTCCTCTGAGTAAATCACTTTTGACTCCTTTTTGAGAGCGTTTTTGTGGTAGTCGGGGTAATTTTTTGAGTGTAGCCGCTCTTTTGATTCGGGAGCAATGTTTGTTTCACAAGTTCACGGCGCATTTTAGCCGTTTGTTAAGCACCTCGAAGGCAAACAGAGAAAAGCCGAGTCTTGGCCATTATAAATATTTAAGAGCCCAAGAGGCAAACTGGTTTGGCAGCCCCATCTTCATCTTCATCAGCTTTTGTCCAAATACATAATCAAAGATTTCGGTTTGCTGCTGGCGACCTTTTCTTTGCTCTCTCTTCGCCCATTTTATATGCGGATATGCTAATTTTTTGCACACTTTTCCAATACGAATGGCTGGCTCGGGAATGGCCAGCGGTTAATAAACTGATATTTTTCCAGAACTTTGGACCGTGCCATCATCGCTGGCAAGGCGGGCGCGTTCGTCAAAAAGCCCCACGGCGATATTTAGACTGCGGCAATTAGCGCCGTACTTGGGTGTAGGTGCAAAGGCGGCTGCGATACCAAGAATTCCGCGAGCGGTTCGGTTCCAAAGGGCCGACGCTCCGTCATCCTGGCGCAAGCCCGATTTGTCGAGCGAGAGCGGCGGACGACAACAACCTGTTGCTCAGAACTTGGCCGAAAGCTTTCGACTTCGGCTCACACGCTCGCCGAAAAATGAGCGGTCGGCGGCGGCGCTGCTCTGCAACGACGTCTGCGGCGGCGCCGGCGTCGACGGACCGACCGCCAACTCCGCTCCTACGACTGCGAGTCGGTATAAAAGTAAAGCGACAGCGTGAAATCAAACTTATTTCAGTGTTTTTGATTTGAATGTGAAAAGCGCTCGCTCGCCCAGTCGCTGTCCAGTTGTTGTCCAGTAAAGTTGTTGTCCAGCAGCCGCAGTCGCAGCAGTCCGCAGCAGTCCGCAGCAGTTCGCAGCAGTCCGCAGCAGTCGCAGCATCCCCATAGTGATGTAGAAACCGAGAGGCCGTTTAGACCGTGTGTGCATGTGTAAAACTCTGAAAATTTAAACAAAAAAAAAAAACAAACACAAGAAACAAACACAAAATACAACGAACAAGGATAGTGCACCGAATGTGATAAATCGTATGCCAAAGCCGAGAAAATCTCTTTAAATTAGCCAAGTGAATTTACATCAAACACGTTGCCTTGTATTAATCGCAAGATCAGCCGACTTCTAGTGCCCGAAAACAGCGAATTTAGAAAAGAAAATTAAAATGGTAAGTAAGGGGGTTCCCTTGGTGTAAGTGTGACTCAGTGGAAAACCGATTCCACCGAAAGCGAAATCCTCCTACATTCGAGTGGCTCGAGTAACCAGTAATTTCGTTGCGACCCCCAGCATGCAAGCCCCAATAATATACGAGTGCATACGTCGGCCTGGGCTTTCCATCAGTCCCACAAATGACCCTTTGCACACGACTCGTGTGTGCTGTTATTAAGTAAAATATTATTACAAAAATAATAAAAGTAGGCCCCAACCCCCGGCGATGAATAGCCGCAGTGCTGGCGTAAAAATTAATTGAGCAAGTTATTCATCGAGGAAACCTTTCGTTCGACAACCGTTCCTGGTTCTTACTCGCATTTCTTTGGAAATGGAAAAAAACCGAGAGCTAGCAACTGGTTTTCGATTTCAAGTACACATTCGCCAGCAAGGTTTTTCAATGTCTTTCTCAAATGCAATTTTGCCGACGCCGCGCAGACCTTTCGACGCTTTTACCCCGCTTTTTTCCCCCAAAACGTGAGCGTTTTCTGTTTTGCTAGAGTCATTCGCACTTGAATTTCGCGAAAAGTGCACACAGAAAATGCAAATGCTGCACTTATTTCCCCCGCTGCTGCTGCAGTTACGTTTGTTTCGGTGGCAACAGCAGCAGCAACAATACAGCAGCAACTCCAATGCAACAGCAACAGCAACAGCAGCAGCAACAATTGCAGCAGCAACATTAAAACACATCGCTGGCTGGCGGTCAAGTGAAGTGAAGGCTGGCTTTTGGTTTTGATTTTGGTTTTGGCTTTTCGTTTTTCGTTTTTGGTTTTAGTTTTGTTTTTGAGCAGCTCTCGAGCTGGCCCGACAACATTTCACACGGAAATGCAGTGCAGCGCTGACCTTGAATCTGGGACTGGGGATATGGGATAACTGGCGATCCGATCGCAAGTGAAATGATAGCCATAGCCACTCAGGGCCAGGCCAACTGACCAATCAACCAACCAATCCACCGACCGACGGACCGCTTTGTGCCGTCCGCCTTACTTATGCTTTCTGCCCATCATTGCAGATGCTGCTGGGTGTAGAAATCCAGTGATTTTCATATTCATTCACCGCCAGCTCTGCAAATTCGAGAAAAAACCTTTAAAAAAAATGAGAAAAAGTGGAAAAAATGCCAGTGGGTTAACCAATCGCTGCTGCCGCTGGCTAATGATCACTGGCATTGCACCATTTTACGAAAAAAGGCAACCCAGAAATCGAAACTTATTCAAATCTTCGAGTTGTTTTCTTCTCCTTTTGGCCTCTTACACAATAATTATTACACCTCGATTTTATTTTCGACTGGGACTTTTGCCGCATTTTTGTGTTGCCTCTTTTGACACTGAAAAGTGCAAAGACGCTGGCGGCGAATTTTACTATGCCAGTTGGCCAGTTGGCCAGTTTGCTGGCTGGCTGGTCAATACTAGCAACTGCCACCCAGCTGCCAAACTGCGAAGCGCAGCCCCCCGCCGCCAAGTGATCATAATAAAAATGTGCTTTAATCAGCCGATTTGCTTGCAGTCCCTGTGGGCCAGTTAGTCACATTAGAGAGCCAGCGAGCGTTTATTGTTGACTACTGCTGCCACTGCCGCTCGGCACTCAGCTGTTTTTGGTAAGAGAAAAGGCAATAACACTCGAGTGTGGGGAGAGCGTATAGTAAATAAATATAAAACCAGGGGCTGAGCGAAAGGGCGCCGAAGTATGGGTGAGATAACGCTTGCCGCATGTGACTGCGATCGCAGTGCAGTGCTCCACTTCGATTTGTTTGGCTCCACGCGGCGTATACGCGATATTTTCCGTGGATCACATACATTTTATCCTCTTCGATTGCTAATATGCCAGTTGGGCAAAGTTTTTTGTTAGACAAATTATAAAGTGCGTGCGTCGCGGTTTTTCTATATGTTGTGTTTACCAGATAAGGTTGAGGCTCTCTCCGTTTAAAACTGATAAAAGTTAAAAAGAGAGGAACTCTGCTTGATAAAAATAAAGAGACACCAAGACGTTCAGCTGTGACTATAATTATGGACTCTTATCGGCCCGTGATTGAAGTAAGTGTCATTTGAAATTCAATTATGGCCTGTTTCAAGATTAGTTAGGAAAGATATGCCGCTTCAGGTGTTAAAAACCACTAAAAATAACAGCTTTTAAATCTTCATTCAAGCAGGCTGACATCTTTTATAGCTTTTTGAGTGGTTTTTCGATTTTTCTAACTCTTTATTCCAAACAAGTCATTTATACATATTTTTCGACTTTTATTGGGTCGATTGAATGTATTTGTAGGTCGGGGTTTAGCCTAAATTAAACGAATTCGTAGTCCGACTTATTTACATTATTTCGAGCACCGATGGGACTAAAACGGATAATGATATTCGGTTCAAGGTTGATTTTTCTGTGTCTTTGTATAAATTACTCGGAATACAGGAAACGATTTTCGACACCCAAATACATATTCCCCTTTTTTTATATAACTGAAAATGTAACTCCCTTTACGATTCGGAATAATTAGTTCCTAAGCGAAGCCCAACAAACAAAATTATTTTAAGATTAGCTGGTTATATAAAAACACATAAATAACGCGAACCCAAGCTGGGCAAACGAATTGGCTTGCGAGGAATTTTCGAAACATTTAATCCGAAGAAAAAAGGAATTAAATAATCAACATTGAGCGGCGAAAACGAAATTTAAATTAGTGGACACAAAAACCTGATAAGTGTGTGAATGTTAAATGATTGAGCCGCGAAAAGTCATTGCTTGTTTAATCGTATTGCTAGTGATTTACGGGCTCGAGGGCAGGAACCTTTAAACTGGGAAATGGCGGCAGGGACGAAAAGCTGGACTTCGGCAGCCAATTGGAATTGCATATTAAATACCGCCTGAATCCAGATGGCGAGCTACCATTTTTAATGCAAACCCCTAACCTGACTGGCAACATTAGCGCCACAAACATTCACATCGACGAAAAAATCAACATCAACATTCGCGCAATGTAGAATGAATCAGCTAAAATATCTGAATTGGGGCTTTCAAATGGCATTTGGGGAACTCACTTACACTTACACTTACACTTACGCACATTTAGCCAGACTGTGGAGTATTTGCAGCTGTGCACTTGACTATTTACTGGATTTTAGTTGCAGCAGCAACCGAATACTGTTGTCCACTGAACAAAAAATATGCAAAGGATATGTCGAAGTGCCACAACAATCAATAGTTCCAGTACTTACTTTTACCATTTTAAAACAGACTGATCACAAAATTTGTTATATGTTTTTTTACTATTTGCAAAATTGTGATTTTAGTTTAACATGTTGAATCTAAAGAAGTAAATATTTAATCAAGTATTTAGTTATTTGCTCTACATTCCAAAACATTATTGACTAATTAAGTTTGGTAAATTTTTTATACTCAGTTGAGCAAATGGTATCAGAAGAAATAGATAATTGGTCAGTTTTAAATATATATATATATATTTAAATATATATATAAGTTTCTTGCTGTGTGCATTTCAACAACTTGCAACCTAAAACGCTCGTCTGCACTCAGTGAGCGGACAAAGACCGCCCCCGAGAGCAAGAAAACCAACAACAACTCAACTTCCTTGGGGCAGCACAGCAGCAGCGAATCGAAACAGCAGCAGCGTACACTCGGAAAAACAGTCTTGCACTAATTACTGGGGATTTGGGGCCAACGACAAGCGGGTGGCTGCAAGAACCACATCCAAACTCGATTGCCAAATTAACGCGATTTAGCTGCTTTTAAAAGTGGCCGCAGTCAAGTCTTCTCTGGCGAAACACACACACTAATGCGGATGGATATAGCCCACATATATCATGTGTTGTTGCTGCTGCAGCGGCAAGTGCATTTGCTGCACATGTTGCTGCCGCGTTTTCGTTTTTTTTTTCGGTTTTTTTCCGATCTCGGTTGGGAAATCGCTAGCGATTTCGATCGCGTGCAAGTCGCGCGCAGCACGGTATTTGCTTGAAAGCTAAAAACGCGCGCTGCATTTTCAACTTGACCCACAACAGTTGGGCATTCGGGCATTCGGGCATTCGGGCATTCATCATTCGATCAGCGGCAGGTGATCGGTGTTTTATGGCTGTTTTATTGTCTTCTCATTTTTGTACTCCGCTGTGTTTTCCTTTACGGCTTTCCATTTACCGAAGATTTGTTTACGCATTCAACAAATCGTGTGTGTGGTGGTCCGCGGTCCACGGGGTGTTGCATCATCGCCTTGTCAAATTAGACAAGATGCCGCTTGCCGCTCGCCCGCCGGAGTAAAAGTCGCGCTCTGAACCTGAATTTTGGCTCCGTATACCAGTTGCAGATACAGAAACCCCCGTACTCCCCCCTTCCATTTTACCACCTATATCTTTTGATCCCCCGTTTGCTGCGCTCAACTTGACCTATAAATTGATTTTTATGTTGCGCAGGTTCGTGCGACTGTATTTGATTTTTCTCGGCCCCGCTATTCAAAGCAATTTTTTCATTAATGATCGAAAATCATTAAGTGCGACACGAGTTTGGGTCCCAGCTTCGATTGATCCCCAATCGCCCCGATGGCCCCTCAATTCCATCGGTGTAAACCTGTTTGGCCCTTTAAATTGATCTCTTATTGCTTTTTCTTTTCGGCTGCTGCTGCTGCTGCTGATGCCGATGTTGCTGGGAAAGTAAAAGTGTTGAGCTGGACAATTATGCGGATACACAAACGGGAAGCCATAATTTTTTCTTACTGTGCAAATTGCTTAGTGCCGCCCCGGCAGATGAGACTTATATAAAAGTCGTTGAAATAAATCAAAGAAAGAGATTTGCAGATGCTAATGCCTGTCCCTGTCACCTGTCTCTCCCGCCGGGCCAATTGCAAAAATGTAGAAATAATAAAAATACGCGTAGGTCCACAAGGCAAAATCCCAGCCAGCAAGCAGAAAGCCAGAAAGCCAGCAAACCGCTTGGCTGCTTGGCCGGTTGGCCTTGTAAAGA